CCACGTGTGCCCACGTGGGGGCACGCTGCTGATGTGGTGCGAGATGACTGTCCCTGAGCCACCTTGTCATCTTGCGAGGGGGATTACCCCCCTTGTCGCGTTCTGGCTTGGAAATATTCCTCCAGCATCTCCACTGAGTCCCCAGCAATGCCAACCGCTACAGTCCAAGTCCTTTTGGACTCTTCCTGCCGACACTTCCCAATAATTAAAACCTGCACCGGTTGATTCTTGAGGGTTGGATCTGCTAACTTCGAACGATGAATTAGACCCCGGCATAGTTGGACCGGTACACTATTCGAAGTTTAACAAGTCAACCTTTTGGTCAACTTTTTACCCTTCCATGAGCGATTCACCTCCCTCCTAAGTTTGACCTTCTTGACCGGTCAACTTATATGGGTCTGACCTTTGACCGGTCATGGGTGAAATACATCCATCAATAAGCCCTCCACTTCTCGGTTATGCAATTGTGTCATAAGCGGGAAGTAAAAATCTTAAACAGGACTTTAAATTTTGAAATTTCGGCCTCTCCCGCTCAAAACATTTGCATTCAAAAATCAAAAAGTATACGTTCTGACACGTGTGGCCTGCTGGACGGCGTCAGACCCGCGCCCTTTCGTCTTCCCAGGCGTAATGATGGCGCCGCCTGACGCAGCGCGCCCTGGTGAAGAGCCACGTCGCCTCCTTCTCCTTCCTCCTCGCCTATATAAAGGCTTCCATCCCCATTGCCTTCCTCACTTCTTCCTCGCGCGTCTCCCGAGTCTCACCGGTCAACCTCCTCTCTCTTGCCTCCCAGCCCTCTGAGCCAAGTAAGCTCTCTTCTCTTCTTTATTAGATCTTAGTTTTCATTCCCGGTCAATGTCTTCTTCTGATAGTCAAGGTATTTCTTCCTCGGATGCCTACGCATCCGAGGAATCCTCAACCTCCTCTTCTTCGACCGGGTCCTCTTTATCCAGTTTCGAAACCCGGTCAGGCCCCAACACCACCATCCCTGAACCGCAACCTGTTAACCAAATGCCCGGTCAGGTTTCTCAGGAGAGGGATGAACCGGTTGACGATGAGCTGGCTCCCTACGACCCTGACAGCGAGTCGTATGAGAGATGGGTGGACCGGCTGGATGCAGCCGGTTACTTTCCTCTTCCTTCCACCTACCCGCTCGACATCTATCCCCGGGTCTCTAAGATTGCCCAAAACAAAGCCCGTAGGAATCTCCCGGAGGGGTATGTTCTTGAGTACAATCCCAGTTGGCCCAACATTATCGAGCCTCACCGGGATGATAGGGTAGGTTTCCATATCATTTCTTTGGAAAGTGGCACCGTCTTCCCCCTGCGTCCCCTTCTGGTCGAGTTGTGCCACTGCTTCAAGATTCTCCCCGGGCAACTCACGCCTAATGCCCATCGTTTTCTTAATGCTTTTGTAAATATCTGCTCCCATCTCAAGATCGACCCTTCTCTTTGCTTTTTCCTTTATTTGTTTGAAGTCCTTCCCGGTAAGTCGAGTTGCGACGGCTATGTCTATTTCAAGGGCCGTAACGGTCGCCAATTCATTTCTGACCTTCCACAAAGCAACCGGCTGTGGAAGGAAAAATTTGTCTTTATAAAATTCCCCACCGTTTCTCCTTTGGCCGGCATAAAGTGGAACGACCACCTCCTGAAACCGCAATACACTGAGCCGGCTAACGCTCCAGACTCGGAAGAAAGTTTGGAGAAACTTCTACAAGGGGACCCGTTCACCGGGCAAATGTTCCATTACGGGGCTTGGATTTGGAGGATCTCACCGGGTGGCACGGGTACCCCCAGGGCTGATGAAGCAGCGGGGCACGGGGTACCCGCCCCGGGCAACACTGCGGAAGCTGGGGGTTCTAGTCACCCAGGTATCCTCCCTTCCTCTTCCTCTTTCTTCCTTTTTATATACCGGTCCATGTTCGAGTACTTATATTTTTGCTTGTTTTACTGAGATGAACTTCAGAGCATTTAACATCCCGGCGAAGAAGACCGGTGGTTCTTCCTCTTCCGCCCCCAAAACTGTACCGGCCCAACAGGAACCGGTAGAGATCCATTCAGATGAGGGGTCTCCTCTGACCGGGAAGACCGGTCAGACCGGGAGGACCACGGTAAACCCTCCCCTGGACAAGGGGAAGGGAAAAGTTCGAACCAAGCATGCCGCCACTACCCATCCGTCAGCTAAGAGGAGAAGGGGAGAAAACGCCCCGGCTTCAGAATCGCTAGAGGAGCTTTGGGTCAAGATGGGGCGAAAGCTGAAAGAGGTAACATTCGCCCGGTATATTCTCTTAAATTTGTTGCTTTTCTGTCGCACTAACCGGTACGTTTCGTTTTGCAGATGGGCGAGGTTGGGCCTGAAACCCTGGAGAGGCTTGTCGAGGACTCCCCTCCCCGGTCACTCCAGCTGGAGGAGAAGCTGAAAGGAGTCGAGGCCCACAACCGGGAGCTGCAGGACTTGATAGCCCGGCAGCTTGATGAGATGGCCAATCTCTCAGCAATTGCCGGGAGGGCCAAGGCAGAGACCCTCCAGCTGAAGGGAGAGAACCTGAAGCTGATGGAGGACTTGGAGCTGAAGGAGCGAGAGTTCCCCGGCAGGGCCAAGCAATGGGTGGGGGAGAACTTGGAGGAGACGGCCCGGGTGATTACATCTACTCCGGAGGTAACGATGGAGGCCTTCAAATTCATCTACCGGGAACCCAACGGGAAGGAAATGGTCACCCAGGTTGGGTCTTATGGCTTCATGTCTGGACAAAAGCGAGACCGGGAGGCCACCCATGCGATCCTTGCCGAACGGGATCCGGACTTCAATGCCGAATCATACGGCCTGGCCCCCATCCCGGACGAAGAGCCTGCGCCTCCCTTCCCTCTCGAATAGATTCCCCAGCTGCGCCCGGTTGTGTTTTGTAAGCTGAAAACTATGAATTTTCCCGGGGATGCCCGGTGTAATATGTAAACATTTAACATTCTCGTTTTGTCGAATGCCATGTTTAATTTCCTTACCGGTTAATCTTCCACATCTGCTTGCTTGTTGATTTATACTTTGCTTTTGCTTCTTATAAATTCTGACCGGTAGCCCAATCAGACCACTTCTCAATTGTTTCTGACCGGGAGAACTTCAAAGTTCTCTTTGATCACTTTATCTGAAGGATTAGCTCGAGTAACTTTGACCGGTTAAACTTCAATTTTTGCTTTTCGAACGTCTTCATCATTTTGGCCAACTTAAAAAGTTTGACCGGCCGAACTTTACTTTGGCCTTTTGGATAGCTTCACAAATTCTTTGATAAAGTACAGTTTGACCGGTAGGTTCCACCCCATGGTCTGACCGGTCATCTGCCTTGCCTTGTGGAACTTTCGAAGTTCTGTTGTGCCCATACCCGACCGGGGTATTCTTTTTTTTTTTGACCGGTAGGTTGTAGATGGAAACACCCGTAACCTAGTAATTCTTGAAATATCCTTAACCGGTAAGAATACTGGAGATTTAACCATGTCGAATGGTTTCGAACCCTCTCCAAGGTTCAAATGCACCCTTCTTCCAGGGCCCCCTCTTCCGAGTGATTAAGTCTTTTGATGGCCCTTTGATTTCTACCATCCCGGGAAGGCCTTAGCTCACCCTCCCGTTCAAGTCTTCCCTGAGAAGGGGGAAACAGGATGCGCCACGGTGGACGATCCCCTTCTATTTCTTTTAATGGGCATCTTTTAGTCCCCAATCAATTTGACGGCGCCGGCTGATTCCCCGACACCAGCCAAACCTCATGGGCCCGTGTAAGTACGGTTCGAACCTTCTTTCAGGTCCAGCCCTCTTGCAGGCATACCCTCTTCCGGGCCCCTCTTCCGGGTTTTAATATTTTTTCTATTATACTGAGCAAGACCGGTGTAATAACCAGCGTGCCAGGTCCGGGCCTGTGTCTAAGTTGGCTTATCCAAGTGGATTCGATCCACCCAGGAAGCCCTCCTAGGATAGGTTCGACCCATCAATTCTGCCGTTACCAAGTAGAGTATTGAACGTCACTTTGATTGATAATGTGGTTAGGCCTCGCCTAGTATTACAATCATTTGTAGAACTTGCGAAAATGGTGGGAATTTCAAGTTCTTTCTACCGGTGCACCATCTAAAGTTTCTAATCGATACGTTCCTGGTCGAATGATGGCTCTAACCCTGTATGGGCCTTCCCAGTTTTTTGCCAGCTTTCCTCCATCGCCGGGTCTACTTGCTTCTCTTCTTCGTAGGACTTCATCCCCAACTTGGAAGTACCGCGGCCCAACCTTGTTGTCATGGTACTTCTTCACAACTTGTTGGTATGTACTCATTTTAACTTCCGCGGCCATTCTTCGTTCTTCGACCAAGTTGAGCTCGGCCAAGTGGTCTTCTTCATTTTGTTGGGGTTGATAATTCGATTCCCGGAACGTTGGGAATTCAGCTTCGATGGGCAGCCTTGCTTCACACCCATAGGTTAGGGAGAATGGAGTTTCCCCGTGAGCCCTCCTGGGTGTTACTCGGAATGCCCATACGATGTGTGGGAGCTCTTCCAGCCACTTGTTTCCTGCTTCTCCCAGCCGTTTCTTTAGACCATCCACAATTGTTCGGTTGGCGTTTTCGACTTGGCCATTCCCTTGGGGGTACGCTACTGAGGAGCGATTGTGCTTGATTCCGAAGCCCTCCAAATATTCGATGAACCTCGGATTTCGGAATTGTGGGCCGTTGTCGGTGATGAGGTTCATGGGTGCTCCAAACCTCGTGATGATGTTCTTCCAAATGAATTTCTTGCATTGTTGCGTGGTAATGTTGGCCAACGCTTCGGCCTCGATCCATTTGGTGAAGTAATCGATGGCTACGATTGCGAACTTCTTCCCTCCTTGGGCGATTGGGAAGGCTCCAATGATATCAACGCCGAATCTAGCGAACGGGATGGCATTCGATACGGGGTGGTAGTAGGTCGCCGGTCTACCAGGATACTTGTAGAATACTTGGCACGTCGTGCATTTCTCAACGTACCTTTCACAATCCTGGACAATTGTTGGCCAGTAATACCCCAACAAGATGATGTGTTGGGAAAGCGTACGGGACATTTGATGCGCCGCGCATACGCCTTCGTGTACCTCCGCTATGACTCTCTCAGCCTCCCGGTTGGTTAGACATCTCAGGAGTGGCCCCCCAAATGCCCTTTTATACAGCTTTCCATCGAGAACCTGGAATCGGGGTGCCCCGAGCTTCACTTTTCTTGCCCGGTTATCTTGTTCTGGCAAGCTCTCATCCATCAAATATTCCATCAGATCATACATCCAATGGTCGTCCGCCCCGACCAAGTTTGACCGGTCAGATTGGCTTCCGGCCGTTATAGCGGCGACTTCCAATTTTTCGATGCTTGCACGGTCAAGGATCTCTACCCGGGCAAGTTTTGAAACATGCTCGGGAGCATACTGCGTCAACTTGGAGAGAAGGTCTGCATCCGCATTCTCTGCCCGGGGAATTTGGGCGATCTTGAACTATTCGAAGCCTTTCAACAGGGCAATCACGAGCTCCTTGTATTATGCCATGCATCCTTCTCTTGCTTCCATGTTACCGGTCACTTGCCCAACAATCAGGCTAGAGTCGGATTTGATACTGACCCGGCTGATTTTCAGGGCTTGGGCAAGTCTGAGCCCTCCAGCCAGAGCTTCATATTCTGCCTCATTTTCGTCAGCTTGAAGTTGAAGACGATTGCATGGTAGATCGTGAACCCTTCTGGGGTGGTGAACACGATACCACCCCCGTATCCTCTAGGACCGGATGCCCCATCAACTGCCATCTCCCACCATTGCTTAGTGGGCTTGTTGACCGGTACGTCTGGAGTTAGACCGGTCATTTCTACCAAGAAGTCAGCAAGAGCTTGTCCCTTGATTGCTGACCTTGGCCGGTACTCAATGTTGAATTGAGTTAACATCATCGCCCACTTCACCATCCTCCCGGAGGATGTTGAATTTCGCAACACTGCACCCAGCGGTTGGTCAGTCAAGACTTCTACCGGGTGAGCTTGGAAGTAAGATGTTAACTTTTTTGCGGAGATGAAAAGCGCATAGGCTGTCTTTTCCATCGCCGTATATCTACTCTCAGCCCCGTTTAGTGCTTTGCTCACATAGTAAATGGGCTTTTGTGCCCCGTCATCTCTTATTAAAACGGAGCTTACAGCATTTGGGGAAATTACCAGGTACAGATACAGAGTTTCACCCGGTTCGGGTTTAGAAAATACAATATCCGACGCTAGGTACTCTTTCAGCTCCTCAAATGCCCTCCGGCATTCTTCATCCCATGCAAATGTGTTGGTCTTCTTCAGAACTTTGAAGAAGGGCAGGGATCTCTCAGCAGACCGGGAAAGGAACCGGCTGAGGGCCGCTAGACGACCGGTCAACTTTTGAACATCCCTAACGGAGGTAGGGGCTTGCATTTCAGTAATGGCCCGGATTTTCTCTGGGTTGGGCTCTATTCCTCTCTTGGTTACCATGAATCCCAAGAACTTCCCGGTACGAACCACGAAGACGCATTTCTTAGGATTCAGCCGGAGGTTGTACCTTGCCATGATATCGAATGTGGTTCGCATATCAGCCGGATGGTTGAGAGATACCTGGCTTTTGATCAGCATGTCATCGACGTATGCTTCCATGGTCTTTCCCAGTAGTGGCTTGAAGAGTTTGTTCACCATGCGCTGGTAGGTTGCCCCCGAGTTCTTCAAGCCAAACGCCATTACCCGGTAGCAGTAGGTTCCTTCGGGTGTGAGGAATGACGTCTTCTCTTCATCTTCCTTGGCCATGTAGATTTGGTGGTAACCCTTGAAGGCATCCATGAAACTTAGGAGTTCGCACCCCGCAGTTTCGTCCACCATTTGATCTGGACTGGGAAGGGGGTATGAATCCATCGGACAAGCCTTGTTCAAGTCCGTATAATCCACACACATTCTCCNAGTGGCTTGAAGAGTTTGTTCACCATGCGCTGGTAGGTTGCCCCCGAGTTCTTCAAGCCAAACGCCATTACCCGGTAGCAGTAGGTTCCTTCGGGTGTGAGGAATGACGTCTTCTCTTCATCTTCCTTGGCCATGTAGATTTGGTGGTAACCCTTGAAGGCATCCATGAAACTTAGGAGTTCGCACCCCGCAGTTTCGTCCACCATTTGATCTGGACTGGGAAGGGAGTATGAATCCATCGGGCAAGCCTTGTTCAAGTCCGTATAATCCACACACATTCTCCACGTGTCGCCCTTGGGAGCAAGGACAATGTTGGCCAACCAATCCGGGTATTTGACTTCCCGGATGTGACCAACACTGAGCAGGTCCTTCACTTCCTTCTTGACGAAGTCTCGCCGGTCACTGGCCAGGTACCGCTTCTTCTGACGTACCGGTCGACTTCCTTCCCTCACGGCCAACCGGTGGCAGATAACAGAGCGATCTATTCTGGGCATATCCGCCACGCTCCATGCGAATATGCTCGCGTATTCTTGGAGGACCCGTGTAATCTGTGCCTTGAGATCCTCGGAGAGATTTGCTCCAATTCTGACCATCCTCGAAGAATCACCCGGGTGAAGCTCGATTTCCACCGTCTCGGCCTCGGGCTCCAATTTCTCCCGGGTCTCTCCCTTTGTGATTTCTTGGGAGATGACATTGACCCCCTTGGTCATCTTCTTGACTGCCCGGGCATAGCACTCCCGGGCGTTCCTCTGGTCGCCCTTCACTTCACCCACACCACCTGGAGTGTGGAACTTCATGCACAGGTGGGGCATGGAAATCACCGCCCCGACCATATTGATGCCTGGCCTTCCAAGAATTGCGTTGTGGACGCATTTGATGTCCACGACTATGAACCGCATCTTCTTCCACACGGTCTTTTCACCTGATCCTAGTTCGACCGGTAGAACTATGAATCCTTCAGCTTCAACGGTGTCCCCCGTGAAGCCTGAGAGAGGGGTTTTGAGGGGTTCAAGTTGTGTCCGACACAACCTGAGTTTTTGGAAAGTCTCTAAGTACAAGATGTTGACGCTGCTCCCGGTGTTAACAAGTACCCGGGCGACATCCACCCCATTAATGTCCATGGTGATGACCAATGGATCATTGTGATCTTCACCGGTAGGAGGGAGATCTCGGTCAGTAAAGACGATCGGCTCCCTTCTAGTATGCTTACGCCATGGCAGTTCAGCACTTACCTCACCAACGTAAATGCTCCGGACCCAGTTCTTCCGCTGCGCGGCTGAATCTCCACCCTAAGGTCCGCCGAAGATCATGTCGATGTGTTCTTTTTCGGGAGCAGGTTGCCGCTCCCTTGGCCGGTTGTTCCTCCGCCGGTCGTTGTCCCGGTCATCTCCCGGGGCAGTTGGCCTAACCCATTGATGACTCTTCTCCTGGGCTTTCTGCAAGTAATCTTTGCCCAGCTCTCCACTGTTGATCATCTGCCGGATGACCCCCTTAACACTTTTGCATTCGGAGGTGTTATGGGAATCCGACCTGTGGTACGAACAATAGGTTCCCGACCACTGCCGCCCGGTTTGACCGGTAGCATTTTCTGGAGAAATGACCGGTGCTTTTCGGATTTCTTGGCATTCTTCCGCATTGACCATACGGACGACCGGGTTATAGTGGTGCCTCGGCCGGCTAGGTCCCGGTGCTTCTTCCTTCTTGACTTGCACCGGCTTGGACTTGTGACCATGCTCAGCTTCTCTCTTTGCCCGGAGCTGGGTTTCAGCTTCAGCAAACTCCCATGCAGTGTGGTAGGCCTCTTGGTATGTAGCTGGGGGTCTCCGGCAGAACTCCTTGTATAGTTCCCCGGCACGCAAGCCATTCAAGAGGAGGGATAGGACGGTCTTGTCATCCATCTCTTCCACCTTGGCTACCTCCTCCTTCCACCGGGTAAGGAACTGAGTAAGGTTCTTAGACTCCCTCTGCCCGGCTGTACTAAGATAGGTGAATTTCTACCTCTTAGTACAATTTTTCTGGAACTTGGCCTTGAACTTTGAGGCCAAATCACTGAACGAATCAATGCTTCCCGGGCGAAGCTTATTGAACCATTCAGTGGCTCGGTTCCGCAAGGTCTGGAAGAAAAGTAGGCACTTTTCTTCATCGGTGCAACCGTTCATGGTCGCACTCTGGTTGAAGGAGTCTAGATGGATTTCCGGCTCTTCCTTCCCGGTGAATCTAGGGGCGTCGATCTTAACCTTTCGCGGGAAAGGTGTTAGATGGACCCTTGTGGTGAACGGGGACCCCGCCAAGGGTTTGTCCCGGTCATTCTTCTCCCTGACCTTCTTTTCCAGCCTTTCCAATTTTGCCTCCATCTGCTGGACGCGGTCATTTGGGATGGCCAACCGGTTTGCCACCGGTAACCTGGGCTGGCTCTCTGCTTCCTCTTCTTGACGAGAGGCCCTCGTCCTTGCTGGCTCATGCCGGTTAGACCGGGAGCGCCGGGTGCGGGCAGGCTCGGCCTCCCGCACCTCGCCTAGCCGGGCAAACGCGCTGACATGGGCAACGCTCTGCCCCAACCTTTGCTTGGCTGACTTCCTCTGGCCTTCCTCCCTATCCCCCAGTCTTTCGAAGGCGGAGTTTCGGGAGGTCGCTGGCCGGATGTTTTTTCCTTTCTTCTTCTTGTGGGCCCTCGGGATGTCCCACTCGCCGTCATCGCTCTCAATTGAGACGCAATGACTATCAGGAGTGATCTGCGGATTCGTAACTTGCGGGGGACGCGATGGCCCTGCAGCGTTAAGTGCGCCGGCCAAGTTGACAGGGGCCATGGTGCTGACCAGCTGGGGCTGGAAAGGTGATGGCTGCGGCACCGGCGTCTACACATTTATTTTGTGCATAAAAATGTTTTATACTTTGAAATATCAATAGAGAAACAAAATATAAACATAAAAAATTTGGAAAAACTATATATAACGGATCAGATATTTGGATAAACGGTTATTTAAACGGATGCATATTCGGGTCGGATTTAACACGGATCGGATATACAATTACCAAATCCGTATCCGTTAGGAATCGGATATCCTTAATTGGATACATATAATATCCGTTTAAAACGGATGCGGATATATATTTCCTCTTTAAACGGATACGGATGCGTTTGATATATATACTGATGGTGTAAATTACTTGACCGGCTAAACTATACTAGACCGGGTCTAGAATAGTTCGCTTGATTTGGCAAAGTAAGAAAGGCAAAACTCGCAGATTGACCGGTAGGACTTTAGGTGGAACACCTGTAGCCCAATTTATATTATAACGGAGAATGCACGGGTGCTTTTACAAGGAAGTTTAGAGAGAATGAATTCGGCCCCCCTTCCTCGAGGGTTACACGAGGTATTTATACTAAATTGGGGGGACAGGATCACGTGCGCCCACGTGGGGGCACGCTGCTGATGTGGTGCGAGATGACTGTCCCTGAGCCACCTTGTCATCTTGCGAGGGGGATTACCCCCCTTGTCGCGTTCTGGCTTGGAAATATTCCTCCAGCATCTCCACTGAGTCCCCAGCAATGCCAACCGCTACAGTCCAAGTCCTTTTGGACTCTTCCTGCCGACACTTCCCAATAATTAAAACCTGCACCGGTTGATTCTTGAGGGTTGGATCTGCTAACTTCGAACGATGAATTAGACCCCGACATAGTTGGACCGGTACACTATTCGAAGTTTAACAAGTCAACCTTTTGGTCAACTTTTTACCCGTCCATGAGCGATTCACCTCCCTCCTAAGTTTGACCTTCTTGACCGGTCAACTTATATGGGTCTGACCTTTGACCGGTCATGGGTGAAATACACCCATCATATACTCCCTCCGTCCCCCATAGATCTTCTCATTAGTCCTTTTTATTTGTCCACCATAGATCTTCTCATTACCTTTTTTAACACTTAAAATACCACAACTACCCCCACTTACTTTATTTATTACATCTCACCTACCTCATTTAATACACTCCACCCATTTTCATTAAGGGTATTATGGTAAACTTTTACCTTTTTTCAACTCTACTAAAAAACCGCAAAAAGTCAAAACGAGAAGATCTTAGAGGGACGGAGGGAGTACTAAATAAAAAAAATTAGTATGTAAATAAAAAATTTTACATGTAAACTCTTTTGATATATGTGTGTGTGTGGGACGTGAGAATTTTTACTAAAAAAATTAAGAAAAATTCGAGGGGTACACCAAATGTGTACCCCATTTGTCCCTCATCTCCTCCTTGTCCACAAAAAAATGCAAGAAATTCAAAAAAAAATAAATAAATAAAAATAAAATAAAAATGGCTAGTGGACAGATATACCCCTTGCTCAAAAATTAAATGTATCCCAGAATATATTTGAGAGTGGGAGTTGGGAATTAAAAAAAAAAGAGAAACACACCTGGTAGAAGGCATACTGTGAACAAAGAGGTGAGATGTTGGTTGACTTGCGCCGTTGTGGGATCTGAGAATGAAGATCAAAGTGAAACCTCAGCTGAATCGAAGAAAGCAATGCGGTTGTCGCCGGCCCTATCAATAATCCCTCTCTCAGTTCTTCTTCTCTCTTTCATTCTCTTCAATTTCTTCCCTCCTAATCATCCATCCAGCTCTCGCCCACCTGCGCCGGTAAGTAATCACCCTCTCTTTCTTGCTATTTGAACAATATTCTTGTTTTTTTATTATCTTCTTCTCCAAAGCAGAAGCCTTTTTCTGAAATCCCATTTGTATATTTTTCATAAATCTTAATTATAGAGACTGTTCGTCCCGGAGCAGCTAGCTCTTTACAATGGCTCCGACCCGAACTTGCCCATTCTTCTTTCCATTATTGGGTACTTTCTTTCTCTCTGTTCAATTTTGTATAGATTATTATTTTTCTTCCTCCCTGCTTTTGTGGGATTATACTGGGTTCTTGTTGTTGTTGTTGTTGTGTAAAAAAAAATATGGGTGAATGGATATAAACAGGTCTGTATTTGATGTGACCAAGGGAAAGAATCATTATGGTGTTGGGGGTAGTTACAATCATTTTTCAGGAAGGTATGCCCTTTGATTCACTCCTTCTGTTGGCTTGGTATTGTATAGATTCATTTTTGGTGTTTTGTTTTTATTAATCTTTTGTGATTATAGTCTTTAAAGATCTCATCTTTCTGCTGAATTTATGCATTTTCAAACCAGATTTTTGTTGTGGGTATATTGTTGATCTGATAACTAAAGTATTGGTCACAAAAAAAAACATTACTTTGTCTGGAAACAATCTTTATTCTCGAGTAGGGGTAAGGTTGTGCACACGCACTTCACAGACCCTATTTTTGTAAGATTTTACTGGGTTTGTTGTCGTTGTATAATTAAAGTATTGGCGAGTCTACTTTCTTCTTTTCAACTAACATGAATTGTCCTCTGTTCTTATAGGGACGCTTCTCGGGCATTTGTTTCAGGAAACTTTACAGGTAATCTTATGTGTTTCTTCATTTTCTGTTCTTTTTACCCTCTATGGCTAACGAATGGGTGCCAATACTTCAATAATGGTGGCTATAGCCTTTTGCTCATCAAAGCGACTAGAGAAGAAGGAAAGAATCTGTAGGAATTGGTTATAATCATAATATGAAATAAGGAGTCTTGAAGATTATTTCATTGACAATTATTCCCTCCGTCCCATAATAAACTTAACACTTTCCTATTTGGTCCGTCCCAGAATATATCTCACACTTATTTCCTTTTAAAGAAAGAAATTTGTGGCTCACATGATTTCTCATTCTTCTAAACAAATTCTCACCATACACTTTTCATTTTTCACCACTTTTATTAAACTCCGTGAAGTCAGACAATGAAGTTTATTTTGGGGCGGGTGGAGTTTTTTTTTGAACCTTTATATTATCTGTTAATGAGTACTTTTACTTCATATTAATGCAGGAGATGGACTTACTGACTCGTTGCGTAATTTATCCAGCACTGAGGTATGAAAGATGTGTGCCTCAGACCAAAAGTTCATCTCGAATCTCAATTGAGTGTCAGCATATTTCTTCATCTATTAATGCTTTATTGTCTTTAGACATTATTACTACTATGGGCTTTGTAGTTATGCTGTATGGAGTACTAATTTCACATCGAATTTGGAATAAATCATTTCCTTAACATGTGGTGTCCAAACACCAAAAATGACTGTTGATCCAAGTGTTTGTGGTTCTAAAAGCCCACGCTTGCAATGGTTTATCTTGTAGGTTAAAAGCATTGTTGAATGGAGGGATTTCTACTTCAAAACATACACGTGAGCCATTTTTTCCGTTCTTTTTTTTAAACTTTTCTGATTTCTTGACCTTACATTTGGCTTTGACTCATATATATTTGATGTGAAGAGGTCATGAATGCTAAAACACAGATTTCTTTAAATTCAGATTTGTTGGAAAGCTAGTGGGCCGCTACTATGACAGTGGCGGGAACCCTACAAAGAATTTAAAAGGAGCCGAAGCGAAGGCTGCTAGAGGTGCACAACTGCTTGAGAAACAAAAGATTGAAGAAGAGAAGATTCCTAGCTGCAATTCCAAGTGGAGTCAAGATGAGGGCTCTGAGGTAATTTAATTTTATTGCTACCCACGTCCCATAAAGAATCCTAGTTTTGCATTTCAGGCTTGGTTGTTTTTGGTTTACGGTTTCGTTGGTTTGCAATATTTGGAGAAATGAATGCCGAATTCAAACCAAACTTAGTTTGGTTTGGGTCTTTCTTTTTGTTCTAGTTGGGGGTATATTTTGGGTGTGCTATTTTGGTTCACTTTAGTTTTAATGATAATACGGTTTTGAAGATAAACTATCAAACTAAATGTTAATTGCATATTATTTGGCTTTTGGTAGAATTTAAGATCGAGTAGAAATCACTCAACAAGTCTCTAAGACAGTTAAGTTGAGTCACACTAAAAACTAAATCAAATCGATGCCCTTTTATTCTTTCTGGGGTAAAAATGTTTTCCATCCCTATAAAATAGGCGAGTTTTGGTTTTCGTCCCTATAATTGTTTTTTTAATTAATTTGTCCTCGCACAATATTTTCTTTTGCAACTGGTCCTAAAACGTAATTAAGGTTGTTAACTTGTTGAGATGGCAAACACGCCCCTAATAGCAGCTTCCTACTTATACCTACTATTCTACTAATTAGCTATGCCCCACCCCAAAGCCTATATTCCCCATTTCTAAACTAAAAATCCTTTACACTATGTTTGGTTCAAGGAATTTGAAAGGAAAAGAAAAGAAAATAGTTTTCCCTCATTTTCCTCACCAAAATGGGAGGAATTTGGGTGTCCCTCCTCTTAGTACATTTTGCCTTTTCATTTTGTTTTCCTTCCAATTTTCTTTTCTTTTCCTCTCTAACCAAACAAGAAAAATGCTCTCTTTCTCATTTTCTTTTCCTTTCCCTCTCAAATTCCTTGAACCAAACAGTGTTAAAGAAATTAAAGGCTTTGTTTTTGCCGACCGCCACTGCATATAATTTGACATTGTTTTTGCTCCAAATTTCCAGCTAGTCGTAGATCATAAGACAATTGAGCATCTTCCTCTGCACATAGGACACGTACGGTGTTTACTCAACCAAGTCACAATACACGTGGCGTGAAACCTGTGAGAGCATGGAGATAGTGATGTGATCCCATCGTTGGCAGAGGATTCGTCCAGGCAAACAAAGCATCTTCTGCCTCCTTTGCCGCCGCTTTGGGACTTCTTAAGCAGAGATATCTCCACCGTTGACATTTCCCTTTCTAACCCCACAAAATCCAGCGGTTTCATACCGACAGACTCATACTCCTCAAGGAGAGTCTGTCAGTAAGATACTCTCGAATTTTGTGGGGTTGGGAAGGGGAATGTCGACGGTGTAGCTATCTCTGCTGAAGAAAGAGACTCAAAGTGATGATGATGGAGGTGGAACGTGCACCGTCTGCCTGGGCATATTCTTGCCGCCGACGGGATCATGCTGCTACCTTCATATGCTCTCACAGGTTTCACGTCCGAATGTGTCCTATGTGCAGAGGAAGATGCTCAACTTTTTATGATTGACGACTGATTGGAAGTCTCAAGCAAAAGAGAACATGTCTAATTGGAGCATTTAGGCTTCGGTGTGGCGAGCAGTGGGGGGTGGGGTGGTAATTAGTAGGGTATAAGTAGGAGGTGTGTTTGCCATCTCAGAAAATTAGCAACCCTAATTGCGTTTCAGCCTTTCAGGACCAGTTGCAAAAGAAATATTTTGCGAGGATGAATTATTTTAAAAAAAATATAGGGACAAAAATCAGAACTCGCCTATTACTTCTTTCTATAGTATTCTGACATGGGATACTTTTAACAACTTTGGTCAAGAGAACTTTGTTTAGTCCGTTTTGTTCCAAACCGAATCGAAATGTCAACCTCTAAATCTCAACCTCTACTTCTTATATAAGTGTTTCGGGTTAAATGTTGGTTTTGAATATTTTTTCTCAGGTTTGGTGCGACGAGGGTTACCCGAGATTGGTTCAACGACCCATAGAAATAGCCATAACGGGGAAAATGAGCAAGCGTTGTGCATGCTACAAGAAAGACGAACTCGACCACCACCGTGGCCTAGAAGTCTATCAAGGATGCCATTATTTCGCCCAAAAATGCCGATTGTAATGTCATGTGTTCTTTAGAGTATCTCACATTGCAGATTTATCATTCTCACTATATAAGAGACAGACATTTCTAATTTATTGATGACTATAGATTAGTTTATTAGTAAATTACTATGAATGAACTTTCTTATATGGAGTATGTGTTTGGCTACACACCATGTATTTCTATGTAGTCTTGATTGTACATTTCAGTTTTTAGTACAATGTATGAATAATTAAAGGTTTTGACACCATGAAGATGATTTGGTATGCGTATATGCATATTGCATATTGATCTACCATTAAGAGTATGATTTCTTAGGTTGTGTCTGGGGAAAACTTTCTCAATTTGTATGTTTTGGATAATATTTTAACGAAACAGATAAACTTCAAAACACCACAGTGCAACCATGGGACAATTTTTTCAAAACGCTAACGTTCAAAGGTAACATTGTTGCCAAACGAACCCTAAATTTCAGTTGGAAAATAAGAAATATATTCCAACAAATTCCAACCATTTTCTTGAGGATTCATTTTTCTGAATTGATAGCTGGTTCCTGATAAGTATTTGACAAAATATTTTATCACCCTTGAAAGCTGTAATATCTAAACATCTAAACAAAAAACCTCTCCCAACAAATACTAGTAAAAATTCTACTTTGTCAAAAAATTAGCCAACCTTGAACAAAGAGTACACCTATTAATTCTGATAAATATAAATAAACATTAACTCATGAAGTTTCTAATATTTATGGGAATTAATAGATGGGGATATTAAATTAAATGTCTTAACATATGCAATCAAGTGCACATAATAATAATAGTGAAATGGGGAGGGAAAATGAAGGCTTATGCTACTACTATTACTCATGCTTCTTCACTTTGAATTTGCCCTTTGGGATTCTGCTGAGAAACCCAGAATCCAGCTTCCTGTAATTGTGGTGTAGCCGGTCAAAGACGCTATATGCAAAGTTGTCCACTTCGTCTTCATATCTCTCATATAGAACTGGCAGTGTGTGCGCGCCAACGAAACCTGTACCAGTTTTCAAAGCGGGAAAGGCATCAGAAGTTGAAGGAATGTAGACATACGTCGTGTCTACGTTCATCCATTTGTGAATGCATCAAGAAAGTTGGTATTTCCCTTACCAATGTATACAACAGTCAGAAAGTTGCACCAGGTTCCAATGACAGCAGTAGCCAACAAGCATGCCACAGCCTAGAGAATCATTCACCAAACAAAGAAAGTTCAAATTCCTACTAACATTTTATCGGTTGATAAGCGGAAAAAAACAAGGGAAATATAGAGGATATTGCTGCTCTTCCAAAAAAACATACAATTAGGAACTGCTTAGATGTCCCTCCGCAGGCGAGGTCTTGAAGGAATCCCAAACCGCGGTTCACTTCAGAGCCAATCATCTTTGCAAGGTTTACAAACACTTCTTCCGGAAGAACGATCCGGGGGACCTGTGATGGAGACCTGTTGCAATTGTATGTTCATCACTGCCACTAAAGGTCTACTAGATCAACAATGATTGCTCCCAATTCAACCAAAAACTAAAGCTTGTGATCGTAAGCACATAAAAGCTTTTATACTCCAACAAAAAACAAACACGGCATCATTGAAAAAATCAAGCTGGTTTTACCAAAAGCCTGTAAAAATGATTAAAGTTTTCAGCTTTCACCAAACAAGCCATACAAGGGTTGCTCTATACCTGGTCACCAAGCCAGAAGTATGAGTCCACAGAAACTGAAGAAACATTCCAAGAATCAAAGCAAAGCAAACAAGGGTGAGCAAGTGATAGTCAAGCCACTCAAAAAGCAACCACATGATTGTAGCAGAAGCCAAAACACTGGCTGAGATTTTCTTGTTCCTCCACAGCAGCACATCAGCAGCTGAATTAATAACATTTTCAGAATTACAGCAATTTTTTATTTCTTTAAGACAAAAAAAGGAAAACAAATAAATGGAAGTTAAGTAAGAATTGGAGCTACATCTGCCTCCTCCAAGAACATGGTGCACTGGCTTCTGGCGACCGAAGAGCCTATTGAATTGCTCAGTGACTTTTCTTGATTTCTCCTCTTCGAAGAATGACACAGATTTTTGCTTCGGTACACTGTCTGCGAATGACTCCATCATGTTGTTCAAGAGAGCCTCTGCTGTGATTCCTTCTGGCATTTTTCCTACATTAAAGAAACAACCTTTTAATTGTTCTCTATTTTTCTTAAAAAAACTTGACCTTCTAGATGCAGCTTATAAAGAAAAATGAAATCATAAGTGAAAAGGGTTTACTCTTCTTCTTTTCCTTCAGTCAAAGGAATCAGAAAATTCTTTAGAGATTCTTAAAGATTGGAATTTTAACTGAACATGTGGAGTAAAGTAAAACGAGAAGTTTATTAAACAAAACCAGATGAAATACTCTCCATGAAGACAAGAAAATTTCTTGAACATCAAAAAAGAATTACAAGAAGAATAAAAGAGAACACCGAATTAAACAAAAAGAGTTACAAAATTGGAGCAAAAAAAGTGGTTTCTCGATAGACCCATGCCAACTTTACATGAGAAATAGAAAATCTTGTGGATCACAATAAAACCAGACAAATAATTCTTGGGGTGTTTATATGAATGATAAATAACTACTCCGTAACAAATTACCATGTGCTGGGCTTTACAAAACAAATCAAGCAAGAAAGAAATGAGTTGAGAAAGCAAACCAGAAGATTGAAGGCGAACCAGAGAGTGAATTGAAGAAGAAGAAGAAGAAGAAATGTGTGGTGGGTAAATAAATGGGGCCGGCTAAACACGTGATTTAACCAGGGAGTGAATGGTGATTGGGTGGGCAGCTGCCAGTGGAATAACGGAACGTACACATTTCCCATTGGTAATGTACTAACTACTCACAGTAATGATACATACTCCCTTCTCTTGGGATTCTTTTTCTATTCTGTTTTAGCCCTTTTAGGAGCTTGGAATAAAAAAAAATTTAAATTTATTTTAATTGATTATAGGATTAAAATTTTAAAAAATTACTATTTAAAAAGTATATAAAATATTGTACAAAACAAAATGTGATATTATGAAATTAATATTAAAAATAAGTAAACAAATCAAATAAAATTTGGGCGAGTGAATAGTACATGAAAAGAATAGAGGAATTTACTTAAATAGCACTAAAACATAATGATTTTCTCTAAATAGCACCACATGTGTTTTTCTTCCTAATGTAGCACTTTTAGTCATTATTCAAGTAATTATTCGTCATTACTGGACATTATTAAGTGCTATTTAGGAATAAAATAATTTAAGTACTATTTAAGGAAATGACTTAAGTTTTAGTGCTATTTAGTGCAAATATTTCAAAAAGAATATTTCGAAAGATAGAGAATACTAGTTAGGAAAATACTAGGGATACACCAAGGTGTACCCCAAATGTCCCCCACCTTTTCCTTGTCCACAAAAAGGCAAGAAAATTCAAAAAAAAATTACTTCCTCTGTCCCTAAATATTTGCCACACTTGTATTCTCAAAACAAAATATCAAATTTTTTCAATTCATTTTATTTACATAGCGGTATGGAAATAAAAAAAATTTACATATCAAAATACTACATGAAAAGTTCTTCGAATTATCAAATAACTAATGAAAACGAAGAAATAAACAAAAATTCCTGCGACTGCTGAAAAAGCAAATGTTGCTTATATTTTGGGACAGAGGGAGTAAGTAAATATGTGTGTCTGTGCAAGTTTAATGGTCTGTTTCGTTCAACTTATTATTTATTCCTATTAAAATTTATTTTTATTAAAATCAAATTGAATTTTCTAAACAAATTTAATGTGAGTTTTATTTTTCAATATTTTTCTTAAATAATGAAGAATAAAATGTATCAGTTTATTCGGGACAAATGTAGTATCTTAAAATTAATGTTGAATTAAAAAATAAAATAATACATTAACAAATTTCACTAGAACTTCTACTCTGTATAACATAAGTGGTGGCTTTGATTATTTTATTACGGAGTATATCAATTGATTAATGAAAATGTGTAAGAAAGAAATATAATTTGACCGTATAAATAATAAACAAAAATCTTATTTTGAAATAGATGGAATAAAGCCTAAATTTTACATCATGAATAAAACATAAATCTGTAAATTTGTTTATAGAAAAAAAATATAAAAATCCGCATTTACATATTGTTGTATTGTTTGTTTCACAAAATTCATAAAGATTTGTCACCTATCGACAATCTCGATTCATGGAGTGTTATTCCCTCCCTCCCCAAAAAAAGTGTTATCTTTGACTTAACACATAAAATTTAAAAAATTAAAATTATGAGGTTAAAGTGATATAAAAGAGAAAAATTTAAAGAACCATAATACTTTTTCTTAAAATAGAAAATAGAACCATTTTTAGGACAACAAAATTGTAAAACCTTTTTATATGACTTAAAGACTATACGAGTATATTTAAGTTTGAATCATGGTTATAATGAAAATTTATTACATAAAGCATGGGGCATCAATGACATGTTGCCTCAACATTTAGTGAAAACAAACACAGGTTTTCTTTTTATTGTCGAATACTCCCTCCGTCCCTAAATAAAGTTCCATTTTTGACTTTTTAAAGATTTAAGGGAGGGATATTTTTGTGTTGACTTTCTAAAAATACCCTTGATGTGATGTGTAAAAGTAAGATGTGATAGGTAGATTATTAGTAAAAAGGTATGATGTGATAGTTAGGGTATAAAAAAGTAAGGGGTAAAAATGGTTTTTTAAGGAAAAAAAGAAGTTTATTTAGGGACAAAGAAAAAACGAAAGAGAAACTTTATTTAGGGACGGAGGGAGTAGGTAAGATAAAGGCCCTGTTTGGTAAATGGCATTTTGCTCAGCATTTGGCTTTTTTGACCATAAACGGCGGATTGAACGGGTCAAATCGCCAAATTAATTGTTTGGATGATAGCATTTGGAATTGGCATTTGGAACCCAACTGCCAAAAATTGAAACGCCACCCTAGTAGCATTTTGTTCAGCAGTTGAAGCAATTTTCCATTTCTTACCCTTCTTTTTTTTCGGTTTTCAAGCCATCTGCGAGAGAGGAAGTCTGCTGCGTCTCTCTGTGATTTTCTTCACGGTAAGGAACTGGAAGTTTGTCTCTCTTTCTCTCTACGATTTCCCTCAAGGCACCAGGTATGTATATTTTCATAATTTTATACATCTAAATATTTGAAATCTTTACACCTTCAAGGCCATCTGCGATTAGGGTTTTTTTGTTGCGATTTTTTTTGCTGCTGCGATTTTGCTTCTCTATGATGTGAGACTGTTTTTTTTATACGATTCTGCTTTTTTTGCTGTGAATCTGCTTCTCTTTGTTGCGTTTCTGTTTTTGTGGTGGAATGCTCTTGAATTTGCTGCGTTTTTTTTGCTTCTCTTTGTTGCGTTTCTGTTTTTTTGCTTCTCTTTGTTGCATTTCTATTTTTTTCCATGCAATGCTGTTTTTTTTTGTTTTGTTGTGATTCTACTTCTCTTTGTTCATCAATAACGACTAAAGAAGGAAAGAAAAAAGTATGCTTTGACATTTGACAATAAGTGAAGACTTGATAATTAGTACCTGCAAGCAAGCCAATGTTTCTCCAAAGAAAAGTATGTGACTTTTGGAAAGGATGCATATTCTGCCAAAGAGACCAAAAACTTTTGTACTCCTCTGGTAAATGGTGAATATTAGAGTGTAACTTGTACTTGCCAGTTTCATCAATGTAACCATCATCAGGAGGGCAGAAACACTAGACACATTAACACATTTTTATGTATCATATATTGAATCAAATTCAATATGGAAAAAACTAACAACTACTTGTTCTACTTTTTGTTGTCTAGTTTTAGTTTTCAAATAAATCACAAAAGAAATAACCTAGATCAAAACTGATTTGAAATTGTATATGAATCAAACAAATGAAGTTATATGTATCAATCAATATACTTGTAAAATTTATCTAAACTTTTAACTTTAAATTTTATTTAGTGTTAGATTATAGCTCCTTGTCATAACAAAAACATCCAAGGATCTCAAAGTGAGAATGAAAACACCAATGACAACAAAGGTGGAAGGATTATTTGGTCAAAAGAATCGGTTTACATCCCTTGTGATCTTTGTATTAAACACGTTGAAAAGAGTAAGGGGAAAAATGGCGGTGTTACTTCTCAAAGGTTAAATTGGAAGAAGATTGAATGTGATTTCCAAAAAGAAGCTAAGCTATCTTGGGATAAACCGAAGTTGAAATCTAAGATTGATTGGTTGAGAGCAAGGTGGGTTGTTTGGAAAGAACTTAAGAGAAGAGCTACAGGATTGGGATGGGATCATATAAAAGGGACTATTGATGCTTCTGCCGAATGGTGGGCTCTAAAAATCCAGGTTCGATTTGTTTTTAAGCTACCATAGATACATTATCAGTTTTGTAAAAAAATGTATTATCTTTTAGGAGTTACATCAATTAATTTTTTTATTGTTTTGACTTTTAGGAAACCCTAAGTTTGAACAATTTCAAGATGAAGAGATTGAACCTGACTTTTGTATTGCATTACATTTATTTGAAATTCTGTTATGAGTCGTACGATATGAATTTTTATCTTGTTTTATGGAACTAAAATGCTTTAAATACATGCTTTGAAGTTTGTCATGTTATTTCTTTTTTTATTGGTAATATTACTATTCTTAAACTTAGCTATTATACATAGTGTACAATGTAAAATATGTTGTTTACTTAATGAGTACCTTTTTGTGTGTAGGTATGGACACTACAAAAATGAAAACCACACTTCTCTTATTGTTAGCATATTTAAAAGAGGAGGATGAATTCAGTGATATGATCTCTTGTGTAGCGGGTTACATGACTTGTGTTTGTGCGGATCATATACCTAGAGAGCGATGTATGACTTCATATTTAACAGGTGAACGATGAGTAAATGAGTTATTGAGTGGTCATGAAAAACGATGTTTTAATGCATTGAGAATGAACCAACTTACATTTCGTGAATTATGTCAACAGTTAGAGGTGAAATATGGCTTAAAATCATCAAATAGGATATCCGTTTTAGAGAAAGTTGCTTTGTTTGTATTTGTATTGAGCAAGGGTGCGTCTAATAGAGATACACAAGAGCGTTTTCAACATTCTGGAGAAACCGTGAGTAGAATTTTCAAAGAAGTTTTGAAAGCAATGGACGGATTTTCAAGAGATCTAATTCAACCTAAAGACCCTGAGTTCAAGAGCATTCCACCACAAATTGTCAATGATGATAGATATATGCCACATTTCAAGGTATAACGACATTATATTATAAATGCGACTATTTAAACTACTAACAATATCAATTTTATGTATTCAATAAGATTGTATAGGAGTTATTGATGGTACTCACATCGAAATAACTATTCCTGAAGACGAGCAATTACGTTATAGAGGAAGGAAGGGAATACCAACTACGAATGTATTAGCAGTGTGTGACTTTGATATGTTATTCACATACGTTTTAAGCGGTTGGGAGGGATCAGCACACGACTCCCGAATTTTCCTTGACACTATCAACAATGCAAGTCTCAATTTTCCACATCCACCTCAAGGTAATAATTATAACTTTTTATAATGTTATATTCAAAAATTAAATAAACACTTTTTAATTGTATGCAATTTTAGGTAAGTATTATTTAGTGGATAAAGGATTCCCGGAAAGAGTTGGATATTTAACTCCATACCCAAAAGTAAGGTACCATCAATCTGAGTTTCGTGGTGCAAATCCAAGAGGAAGTCAAGAAGTTTTTAATAAAGCGCATTCATCATTAAGAAGTTGCATTGAGAGAGCTTTTGGTGTTCTTAAAGCTCGGTGGAAGATATTGCAAATAATGCCAAGATATTCATTAATGGATCAAAACAAGATTATTTGTTCGTGTTTTGTTTTGCACAACTATATTCGAATGAGCACAATTGGTGACTCGGCTTTTCAATTGGTTGATGGGTGACCCTGATTTTGTACCCGTAGATGTGTTTGAAGATGTTGAAAACCAAGTTGCAAATAATGAGATGGGGATAAGAAGTCAGGAAATGAGAAAGATCTGTAATAATATTACTTCTAGTTTGATGGCGAAAAGATCTCATTATTAGTAAAAAGTCGAGAGCTTGTTTGATTTTTTGTCACTTTTAATGCTCATGTCATCTCAAAAAGTATTTGATACTTCAGATTGTGATGCTTGTCCCGCATAATTTTTTATTTAATTTTTTTAATTTAAAGTTGGTGTAGAGTATCTTTTTATATTTATGATATGATATTTTAAAAAACTATAAAATAAAATATACCATGCACGGTGGTTATTTGTAGAATGACAAATGAAATAAATACAAAATAAGTCTACTCATAAAATATAAATGTAAATTTTCATTTCTTAAATTATACGGAGTAAAAAAAATGAAGTAGCCTTTTTTATCCAAAAAAAGATGTAGGGATGTCTAGAGTATTTGTTTGTATAATGTACGTATTTTATGAAAATTAAAGAAAAATTAAAAATTGCATACTAATTAACATAAATGGAAGGATGTTCTTTTATGTAATTTTACTTACAAACAGCTAACTATAAACAACTAAAGTTGCCAAACACTTAAAATTTATCAGCTAACAGAAACAACCGGTCAAAATAGCTAACTCAATCAGCCATTCAAACCAGCTAACATAAACAGCCAACTGTCAGGATCCAAACAAGGCCAAAATGTCCAATCAAGAATGATAAAAAAGTGTGAAACATAATCATAATAAATGCACACCAAAATTTACATAAAACTTCAAAGAAAAAAACATTAGATGATAAACGCTTGACCAACTTCAATGGGTATAACCAATATTCATCTTTAAACCAACTAAATGTTGGGACAATGTATCCCTTCATTCTGACCTCACATTAATGTGATATTGTTCGTTTTGGATCAAAATTTATAAATTTATTTTTAGGCACCTTTCAAAAAGACTAAAAGGCTATTTGGCAACTTCTGAATAGGTAAGTGCTGAACCAGTAAGAGGCCTGAACCATTAAGTGCCGAACCAGTAAGAGGTCTGAACCATTAAGAGCTACTCCCTCCGTCCCAAATTATAATGCATGTTTACTATTCACAGGGTCAAACTTCATTCACTTTCTTTCTCTATTTTCGTTAGCAATTTGATAAAATAAAATATTATTGTCACTACTAGTTTTGTAGTTTTGTAGATCTTTTGATGTAGTTTTTTAATATGTAATTTTTATTTTTTAATTCTATACCATTTGTCATATAAAATGGTTTGAAAATAATTTCAGTCAAACGTCGTAAACCGAAACAGACGTTATAAAATGGGACGGAGGTAGTAGTATATTGCTTAACTTTTCAGAGGCAAATGTCTGATCAATTCAGATAAGAGGTTTTAACCATTCAGACTTTGTATAATACTTAACCATTCAGAGGCAATTCTATTAACCATTCAGACATCTGAACCATTAAGGGGCTAAAACAAACAGTCTGAATCATTAAGTGCTGAACCATTCAGACATCTGAACCATTAAGAGGCTGAAACAAACAGCCCCTAATACTAATGAGTTAGATTGAATCATTATGTTTTTGTTCCTCTCCTCATTTTATGCCGTCATCTTGCAAATCATAGCCCTACGAGATACGTCGTCCGACCTCCATTTGTCGAGAAGACTTTTAACACAAGGCATGAATCGCTTACCACCAATTTGATAGGTCACATCTTTTGATTTGTCAAATCATCATGTACTACCATTGCCAACCAATGAGACATGCGGCCTACTCCCACTTGTTAGGAACACTTTTGACACAAGAAATCATATCTCACAAAAGTTGTTGGGCCTAAAAGCTAATGTCGAAAAAAAGCTTGCTTCACCCAAGCTAATGTGCCTAATGCTAATCCTAATTCTAACTCTAATCCCATAATTCTAATTATAATCCTAATCCCCTAATCCTAACCTTGATCCTAATCCTATTCATAATACTAATATTAATACTAAGGAGTCCTTATCAGCAAGACCCGTATGATTGGAATAGACCTGAGGACCATGGAAGTATTTGCCTAATTAAAACACATCCAAACATACTAACACAAACTCATAGAGCTGAGGCAGTAATTGATATATACTAAAAGTGAAGAGCATAAAGAACAGAGAATCAATAGTACATGTTTATTACTGAAGGGAAAAACAGTTTTTCACATTCTTCGGAGTCTGGTTTTTGATGTAAATGTCAGCGTGACATAAAGTTGTAAAAGAATTTACACAAGAGCAAATGGTTTAGGAAAGACTTTTTTTTGTTGGTAACAATAACATGAGACATCAGATCAATGCTTTGAGGCTCCACCGTTGCAATAGTGAAGGATGCCATTTCTAACAATGCCATTATTGGCATTGTTAAGTTTCATCATGTTTACCTGATTCAATCCCCACACGCGAATTGTACGGTCGTCACTAGCAGAGGCCAGCATATGATGGTTCACCGGATTCCAGCTCACGCAGTTCACTGTCCCAGAATGTCCTGCCAATGTCCCAACAAGTTCTCCAGACCCTCTATGCCAAATATAAACCTGGCCAAAAAGTCAAGATACCTCTTCTTTTTCAGGACCACTATATTCATTATTGGATTTTGGTAGCCAAATGTAGTTTGTTTTGACTTTCCAAAGAGCATGTAGCATTTGACTTACTCGGTTGAACAAGATATTCTAAAACACTTCCCGTTTGACAAAATATTTTAACCAAACAGGCCCTTAATGTACGGAGTATAAGATAACAAACAAGGATGGATGTAAAACAGTTGTTTTAAAAGTTGCTAAGCAGGCAGTACCTAGCACCTGGCTAGAGCCTGTCGTGGAGCCTAGGCAGTGATTTTTTCAAAGAGGTAATGAAGAGGATATATAAGAGCTTCTGAGACCAAATTAGCAGTTCCACCATCTCAAAAAGCTAAAAAAAAACTTTACGTAAACAGCCTACCAAATTAGATTAAATGCCTAAAAGGGTCATTTTTTAGAAATATTTTATTTAAAGCATTACGAGAGTGATTCCTATTATTACAGTGTTTCCCTTTAAAAAGGTGCTTATGACTACCTTGTTGCCCTTAAATTTCATTTTCCCCATTTAAACCACCAAAAAAATTACTACCCTCTCCATCCTTGAAAGTATAAAATTTTTGACTTGTTTATGTTCCATAATACTTCTCAATTTCACTTTGGAATTATTCCATATCTCCATTTATTGCAACTCAAAAATTGTGTGCTGCATGTTCCAACAATTATCATTAATCTTTTTTGAGTAATATTGACTCTATTACAATGTAGTATAGTTCAAACTTTCTTAACCTAAAGATGCATAGTGAGTTAATGCCTCCTCTACTAGGGAATCGAACCTAGTGAGCTTTCCCATGAATCTTGGGGAGTGGACATCCTACCACTCAAGACAATGGAAAAGCTCACAATTATCATTAATTAATACTCCGGCTTTCCTCCATTTTCCCCCTTTTTACCTTTTTTGTCCATCCTACTATTTTCGCCACAGAACATAATTGATTATATTTGTGTAGTTCAACATTCATTCTCACTTTATCTTATTTTTAAATAGTCGATAAAAAATATTAGATGATGATTCTCAATAGCAAATGCACAATTTTCAGCATCAATATTAAAGGGACTAGGGAGAAAAAAATGCTGTCTTCTAATTTTTCTTTTCTTTCAAGATTTGACAATTTTTTGGGACTGAGGGGGTATTACCAAGCACATCTACACAATGAAATCAAGTAAGAAGATAGTAAACCCCACAAATATTGAAAATCTTATTCCTACAATGCATGCAAGCAATAATGGGGAGATAATAAGGTAGTGAAAAAAAGTGTTTGATTGTGAAGAAAAGAAGCTACCTACCAGTGAGTCTTCACTTCCACTAGCAATGAATGCTTGATTAAGTCCACCAAAACAAGACCTGAGTACAAAGCGAATGCGCTTGTGACCCTTATATTTGGCTATACATTTCATACTCCCATCTATATTCCAAAGGTGAATCTCTTGGTTAGAAAGACTGACCAGAATGTTCTTATTGTCTCTTGACAATACAAATGAGGTTATACATTCATCTTCCACAAGAAATCTCTCATCTTTGGATTCCCATCCAAACATAACTATCTCATTTTCTTTACAAACAGAAACGATCTGTTTCCCATCAGAAGTGATCCCAATATCTGATATCCTAATAGTCCTTTGTCCTTTCCAACACTCTAACTCCTTACCATCTAAATCCCACATGCTAATGCTTTTATCAGAAACACCAGTGAAAATACTGTTTCCATCAGACGCCCATCCACAAGAGATCAAACCCAAACCACTTTTCTCGTAAACGTGAACACATTCCCCAGATGCCACATCCCATCTCCTAACAACTTCCTCCACTCCACATGTTAGGATCTGACTATTGTCAGGACTCCATGAAACACAACATACAGGTTGTTGGTGACCAACAAGTCGATGCTTCAAAGAGACTTGACAATCGTGTTTGACCTTCAAAGATGTGTAAGATAAATCAGGACTTTAAAACAAGAGAAGACTATGCAGTAACTTGTAGCATTATTTCAATCACTTGCAAAGATTATTCTGCATTGTCGAATGTACTCATTATACAGTATACACTCATAAAAAAAGATCAAGTACATTCTTTGGAGAATAATGCAACTATAAGTTTACTTCCAACAACCTATACATATAGGAAAACTTTCACAATGTGCACATACATGTGTACACAGTTTAGTTAGACAACACTATTCACTTTCTCTTGGATAACTTGTGTGACAAGTGCTTTTATAAAAAGAGTTCTCTCATTTAAAGAGGTGATTTATTTATTTCAAAAAGCTCGAATCTTGTGCTTTCTTAAATAAGGACAGTGTTCTTCATAATTAAAAGCACGTTTTTCATTTTATTTCTTAACACATCTTTTCAATCCAAAAAATACTTATTTTCATAAAAAAGTACTCAGTCTTTAAAAATAAGTCACCAAATAAGCACACTTAGTTTTTGTGTGTTGTGAGGCTTAAAACTTAGTCCTGGTGGCTTAAAATCAGCTTTTAAAAAAAGAGAACCTTTTCCAGTTACAATCATCTAATTGTAAAATTCCCTAATTCTGTTGAGGCTCACCTAATTTCAAAAATAAGAGAATGTGGATATTTTACAAGAGTGTAGAACTAATACAAAGGAACAAAAGAACAATATACCTAAACCAGAAATATAAAAACCTAGGACATATAAGGTAAGACGAGAGCAGTGTGCACTTACCTCCCAAATAATAGCTGAGCAATCTGCAGATGCTGAGGCCAAGTACTTCCCATCATAAGAGAACTGCAAATACCAGACTTCACTACTATGCTCCTGTAAGGTCTGCAGGAGAAAAGGATAAGGAATCATTCTCTACACTATCAACTAGCAAGATGATTATTGATTTACTGGAAACAATTCGAGCACTCAAAGTAGCTTTCACTTGTTCAGATGGCTCACTGAAAATCAATTATTTTTATCAGTTGCCAAATCTTAGAATTTATTAAATGAGGACAATGTTTCACATCATAAACTTTACAATGTGATTTTCATCTATTATCAAATTACAAAATAAACCAAGCATTAGGTTTCTATTGAAATATTACTAAAAGGACAATGTTTTTACTTATAAAAATTGAGCCCATGTTCCTTCATCATTCAGTTAATTATGTTATTAAAGCTGTTTAAGCACAGTTAGTCAACTCTAACACCACAGTCCGCACAGTATACTGTGGGCCTCTGTGATATAATCAGGGACTGCTGTGGGCCTCTGTGGAGTCTGTGATATAACAAGTGCAAGCAGTAATTTATGGGCAAAGCTGACGGTTAGATTTGGCACAGAAATGGAAATAGCTTCTCTTAGATCTGATCAGTCCACCAATTGGCAATCACTTTAGTCCAAACTGCACACTAATGAAGTTCACTGTGAAGCATTAGCGGAATCTTCTCCACCAAGGTTCTATACTATTTGTTCAAGAGAGAAGCAATCAGATGGGATAATTTTAGTGAACCTGGTGTTTGCATTCACCGTGGACAGTTTGCTATAGGGTAAAAACTAAAAATAAAACCACATGAACTGATTAGACAAATGGTGAGTCGTCATCACCAACTCTGTAATGTTGGTAGCATAAAATTCAGTGCCAAATAATTGCCCAGAATTAATTCACACTATAAATACATGCAAAGCAGCATAGTGACAACTTTATGTCAGACACCTTCCAAGTCGTACCCTTCCAAAAAATGAGATGACAATCTAAAACCATCCCTATCAGATACTTTTTCTACTTCCATTGAAATACTCCTCAAAATCCTCTTCAAGATCAAGGCTGCTTATTAAGAAACTGAACTTGTGTGCTTGTGTTATATTTAGAAAGGAATGAGGCTACTCATCACACACAGTTTTCCTTACAATAAAAATTTAAAGAAAATGGGGACAGGCCAAAATGGAAAACAGGAAGAAAATTATGGGACAAACGGAGTATCATGATAAGGTGATGAGTTGAGATAGCAAAAAAATGATATTGGAAATGCACATCATGGGACATGTTAGGGGAAATTTGAATTTGGTACTTTATGCCGCAGCATTTTTCATTGTGAAGATAGTGCAGGTTTGCAAAGTGTGCCAAACTTATCGCAGCAAGCGCTAAATTTCAGAAATGGAAAATGGGATTAATGAAGCAATGCAAGATAAATGAATTTGGATATGGCAGATTGGTAGGCTCAACAACGAATAGGTAAGGTAAGAAAGTTTGATGGCAGGAAGATGGTCATATTGTTGGGACTTGGGAGCTACTTTGTATTCCCCAAAGCCCTAACCAATAGTAACAGAAATTAAGATATAAATATTATAATAACATGACCTTTCATGTTAATAAAATATTTTGAAATAAAAATTTATAATAGCTGCTCCGTAATAAATAAGAACATAACACAGTTATCATGCAAGTTAAACTAGCAAAATGCCAAAAGCTAAAGTATCCACGGATGTGCTCTCACCTGTAAAGTTTGAGAAGGGATTTGATCTCTACTACAATGATGATCAGAGAGCAATGACATCTCACCCACCAAAGAATTGTGAAATCTGCAAGCATCAAGTTGCAAATCAAGAGCCTGTTCAACAAGATGGACTAATCTCTTCTCAGGTATCATAACTGTGGGTGGAAGCACTCGCTTCAATTCTTCGAGCAATTTTGATCGAGGCTTCACTCTAACAGTACATGGACTAGATATGCCAACAAGGCTCTTTGGTGAAAATATGATGCATGAGGAAAGCTCGCGGACTCGGTCACTCTTTATGCATAAAGGAGCAACATCCACCCTCAAAGTTTTCAAAGCTTCCATGACATTATCTTTGTCCAGATACTCAAACAGTTTCTGCTCAAAAATTAGAAATGATACAAGCTTTATGGTGGTTTCATCCATTAGACCAATTCTAGGTAAAGTAGCTACACTTTCATCCCATTTCCCATCAAGTATTTGCTGCATAAACAAATTTACAACTTCAGATTGTAATTGTATCCCTGATTCTTCCTCAAGCTGCTCTGCAGTCTTCTTATAACCAAGAGAGTATAATGCCTCAGCAATGATCCGAACAAATTCAACTTTCTTGACAACTCCTTTTGATCCAACCACCCCATCATCTCCTTGGAATTCACGAGAGCAGCTTTCAGGCTCTTTAAGAGACATTTCGTTTGGATGATCTCCCAACTTTTCGGAGTGTACTTTTACGCGTTTTGAGGGTGGTTCTTCATCCTCTACACCTCCCATGAAATGTACACCTTAGCCCATATATATATAATAAAAACTGAAAGTCTGGAAATAACAAGTTCAGATACTAGCCCAAGTACTTGAACAGTAAGTTGATCTACCTGCATTAAGAAATGGAATAGATGACATCAACATAAGATGAAAGATAATTTCAAACCAACTCCAAGTCAGCCAAAATCATGACCGAGATTTTACTCAAATGGAAGGGGAAACAAAACCATAAGTCATGTGTTATCCTAACATGAACTGTAAGATTCAACCTAATTCCATAAAGAAACATATATAGACATACAAATGCGTCTAACAAAGCAAAGAAAGAAAGAACATCTAAGTTGCGCCTCAAATTTTCAATTAATTATAGTCAAGGTAGAGTTACTTATAAAGTCATCAATCGATCAATCATAATCTTCAAGTACTTGAGGGTTTCACAAGGCCACGCCAGACCTGGAGAGAAATGGCGCGCTCACATGGATAAGACACGCCAGAGCCACTTCGCGCAAGCTTGGCCGGATACGAGGACACGGGACTCGGATTCGGCCGCCGTGAGAGCCCGGATGCGACGGCGATTCGCACGGGCTCCGGTTGCGGGGTCTAGCGGCGAAGGTAACTTAGCTAGGTCAGATGGATCCGGTGTTGCGTTGCCGGATTGCAGTCACAGATCGGATTGGGACTGGGAGCGCCGACGGTTTTCAGATCGATCCTTCTAGAATTGATGAGGGTTGGTTTTCATGTGTTCCTCATTCTTTGGTTTTCATTTTGGCATATTACTTCAAGTTGGGGCAACTGCATATAAAGTGCCAAGATATACAAGTGCACAATTACTCAAATAAGGCATCAATGGCCATTACATTTTTTAAAAAGACAAAGAGAGGACATTTTATTCACTATTACATTAATAATCGTTAAAAATATATTTTTCTTATTATGTATTACTATAGTAATTTTAATTACATGATATGGGACTCATTTTCTTTTATCATTTGTGTTAATAATTTTAAAATTCAAAATCATGAATCACTTTTTTAACAAATTTGTGCTTTTTATACAAAATTGAGTTTTGTTTTCATATTATTTGAATACTGCAGTTTAATTTTTTGACATAGTTTGAGCATGGGTATAATATTGAACATGGTATTAAACTCATTGTCTTTTATTCTTTGTATTTATGATTTTTAAATTTGAAATCATGCATTGCCCTTTTTTAACAAAGTTGTGCTTATCGATACAAAATTTTGTTTTTTGTTTTCTTATTATGTATTTGAGTACTACTTATATGTTTAATTTTTTGGAACACTTTCAACACGAGAATAATATTGCACCATTCCGTTTCAAACCAAAATTGTACCAACATAATTTTGAATTTCATCCCGTACCGATACCAAACCATTTAACCAAATAGTTTTAGGTTTCAAAACCTTTCTTCTTGTGCCCTACACATTCATTCTTATTTTCAACATCAATATCCCTTTAAAAAAACATCAATATCGACCACAAAATCTTTCGTGTCACACTCACAGCTTCCAAAAATAGTGTGCCAAAGAAGAAAATGGAAAAGTTTCATTCTTTAAGATAGAGTCCTATAGTCAGTCTCTTCCCTCTTTTCTCATATGACAGGGAAGCACCACACTACCATCCATTACAACCATTGCATTCTGAAGATGAGAACATTATATGCAAAAAAACAAGAGCTAGTCAAAGAAGCCACTTATATTAATCTTTCAAAAAGTGTGAAAAACAAACCAAAAAAAAACTAGTCTTGAGTATTGTTCAAGTGTCCTTTGGTAAATTATTCTGCTGCAAGCAATGTGTAAACAATTTTTTTTCATACAGATGGAAGTAAAATTCCCGAGCAAAAATTAGAAATGGTATATAAATCAATGAAGAGGGAACACAAATATGGACATGCTTCTATCTGTTGATCCTTTATATAACCAATCCTCAGCTTCCATATTCATCCCAAGAATAACTTAAGTAGTACTATCTGTTAAGTCAGTAATGGGACTCGTCCTTGTTCTCTTTCTCCTCATTATTCACGCGTGAAATCAATATTACCACTCCACCGCATTCACGCGTGAATTTTTTTCCAAGCAGTAAAATTTTGAAACTTCTAAGCATTAACCGGTCAAATGCCCGTTTTTGCGCTGCCTCTTAGAAGCAGACTTCTTAGACTTAACTGATCCTTGGGGTGCGGAGCCAGGACATGGATCCAATGGGACGTTGCCGTTTTCGGCTGTCGGATGACACATCTGAGGGTTCTGGAAGCTTCCATCATGAGACAACATCTGAGGGTTCTGGAAGCTTCCATCATGAGACAACATCTGAGGGTTCTGGAAGCTTCCATCATGACACAACATCTGAGGGTTCTGGAAGCTTCCATCATGAGACAACATCTGAGGGTTCTGGAAGCTTCCATCATGAGACAACATCTGAGGGTTCTGGAAGCTTCCATCATGAGACAACATCTGAGGGTTCTGGAAGCTTCCATCATGAGACAACATCTGAGGGTTCTCGACACTCATGGGATGCATTTGAGGGTTCTGCAAGCTGCCATCAAGCTGCATGGGATCATTCTGGAAGCTTCCATGATGATTTGTGTGAGGGTTCGGCAGGCTTCCGTGTGACTCACTAATCCCAGCAGAACCAACCAATGCAGTGAGTGAGTCAATGGAGATGGATGGCATTGAGACCCCAACCTTCCAGTCATATGATAAAACAGAAGCAAGTGCATTCATGGATGCGCCCAAGACCTCAGGAAGTTGTTTTGATGGATCTTTCACCTACATGTTGGCACATGACAATATATTAATTTTTTTAAATACAAGAAACAAAAAAAGTCGCAATTCAAAAATTTGTCTAAAACATAGATCGTAAAACAGGGTTCTTTTTTCATGTGAATTTTTTAAAAAAGTGAACCAAAATGATAAATTCGGGTAAATAAAAAAATTACTAGTAAACTTCTATGCTGTAATATAAGTAGCGTTCGACAACTTATATGGGTTAGGACCTTATCAAGATTTAAAAATTGTGATCTATTTCACTATCAATTGCTGATAGCCTAATACATAATTGATTGTGTGCTTTGGGTAAACCCCGCCCTGGCAACAGCAGCACAATAGATGACCAGAGATGTAAATAGCCCCAAAGCAGGGTTTGAACCCTTGTTAGAGCACCAAACTATTTCTAGGCAGGTCCTTGTAGTAAAAAGGGGACACCTTCCCTTATCATAGAGAAGCTATTTTGTATGTGGGCATGTGGGTGCTTGTGTGGTGGTTGTGGGGAGAGGGGAGGGGGGGAGGGGGGAGGTAAAATTTTACTTTGAAACAAATTGCAGAGGTCAGTCTCTCCCTCAAGCAGTATATCTGAGCAACATCAAGAGCGGTTGATTTAAAATAGAGCCACCGATCAACAATGGCCTTCACAGGATTATCAGGAGAAGACATAATATCGTCTTCTCCATCAGACACCTCTGATTTTGCCTTCTCTCCTTCATTGTCATCTCCAGAGCCACTTCCACTCTTACTTGCATTGCTGCCAAAACGGGTTCCCTTTGTAGGAGCTACCACAATCTCTGATGACAGCAATAGCAGCGGAAGTGGCCCTATGATACTGCAATGCTTTATGTGCATCCCCCTATCACCACGAGTTATCTCATCATATACAATTATTGGCCGGTTAAGATTCTTGTCCACTAGCTTGAAGTTGGTTGAGCAAGGGTGCAAACGGACCTTATCACCACTCCCAGTCTCCACTACACTTCTTGGAGTTGCATTTCTGAGAGGTGGAAGTAGTCTCCCCACATTGGGATACAAACCAGCAAGAAGGACAGTATGCAGAATTCCTGGATCACGAGCATTTATGCTATGCTTGGATATGTTCTCAGGTATGAAACCATTTCGGACCAATTCAGACTGAAGCTGCTTTCGCAGTCTTGATATCATTCTCATGGTGCCAGGCGATACAAAGTAGGAAGAGCAGAACTGTGCCTCTTTACCTTTTTGCTTGGCATTTTGCCAGCATTCAAATGCAGCCACCACAGCTAACTGATCACTACTCCCACCATAAAACGAGGCTAACTCTTGTTTTGCAGCGTTGGCTTTTTTTCTTTCGGACAGTAACATCGGAAGGGTAAATGGGTCTTTATTCTCAGATGCACAAGCTAAAGTCAGCGCTGGTTCAAGACAATTCAAAAGTATTGAGATCAAAAGCATCTTGCTGGTGAGAGGGTGAACAGGTAAGGACCCAAGCCTTTCCCCAAGTTCTGTAACTTTCTCTTCATCGTTTAAGGCACCTATATCTTGCAGAACAATGATTGCATTTCTTATCGTCTCATAAACAGGAGGATCTAATGTCTTCTGAAGGAACTCCTCAACATTGCAATCGGGATCTAGAAGCTTAATCTGCAGTCAAAATGTTGTTTATGCACCTTTTAGAAATCAAAAGTCATTTTTAATGAATTCATTTAAAAGACATAATAAAAGAGGAAAAATGGAATATCTTGATATTTTTAAAGAACTCTAGAAAGCCAACTACTTTCCTTGGTCTGGGTGGTCTCGGTAAGTTAGTCAATTGTGACTTCAGATAAGGTTGGTAAAAAGTGCAAAAGAATACTTTGAGATATTTAAAATAAAAAAGCTGACAGACTGAGAGTACACCCACAAGATTATTATTATTTTTTGCACGCAGTCATTAAGCATAAATAAGGCAGAAAGGGCACCTGCAAACATAGCTCCTCTATAGGCATCCTCTTAAGCTCTGGAATTTGAAAATCCGGAAACGAAGCTTCTCGAGCCTTTGAATAGAGACGATAACAAATTCCTGGCTGGCAGCGCCCTGCACGTCCTTCGCGCTGCTTAGCACTTGCTTTTGATATCCAAGAAGATTCAAGAGTTGACACATTGTTATAAGGGTCATAACTTTTTTCTTTCGCACGTCCACTATCTACTACATATACTACATCTTCAATAGTAACAGCAGTCTCAGCAATATTAGTTGAAAGAATGATTTTGCGACAACCTCGGGGAGGGCGTTCAAAAGCCTTCTTTTGCTCCAATGGTGGAACCATAGAATGAAGAGGGATTATTGAAAACTTGGATTCATTATTGAACAATGCAATCTTTTGCAATCTATCTCTTGTTCTAGTAATATCATCCCACCCACGAAGAAAAACCAGGATGGCTCCATCCGTTGAGGTCTCACATATATTTCTTAGTAACTTCTCAATCAGCACATCATCAATCAGTTCAGGATCAACTGTTGATAGGTATTTATCTAGTAAATTTTGCTTCTCCTCAGAATTGGAAGATGATTCCTCTAGATGTTTTTTAATAATTTCAGCTGCTTCTGACTGGTTCTCTCGTGATGCCCAATCTAGAGCAGTTGCTCCATCCTTGGCTTTCAGATGACAGTCAGCACCAAGGGAAAGGAGTGTGCAAATATCATTGATGCAGCCTTTACCAGCAAAAACCATCAAAGGTGTCACCCCTGTCAAAGAATGCTGGTAGTTGATGACTTCGGGTGTCGCTCCAGAAGAGATTATGTCTAAGAGAGGAACAACCTCATCATCAGACAGAGCAAGATTTATAGCTTCATCTAAGGCAACTCTGTATTCCTCTGTTAATACAGAGTCTCCTGAGGTGTGACTGGCTGTTGAATTGTCAAGGGCATCATTTTCTGATGATTTAACAAAACTGAGTACATCTTCAAGGTAGAAAGTTTTTACCTGAAAAGAATATAAAGCTCACATCATGGAACAGCCAAGGAAGACAGATCGGCAGTTGGAGATTAAAAAAAAGACTATAGATATGGCTAAGGGGTGTTTTACTGGGTAAGTGAATCCCGGGACTCGGATGATCGGGCAGCCATAAAAATATTTTGAAAAACGCTCCTCATCAATTGTTGCACTCATTAGAATCTGTTAAGGAGAAATTAACCACCAAACTGGTATAAGTGCTCATAATTGTAAGCAGAAACTACTCGGAAAGCGGTCTATATTAATATATCTTTAAAGACATGATTATACTAACCAGGCGCAAATGGGGATAGGAAGGAAGCATATCCCTACAGGGGATAAGTAACTTATTAGCATCTCAGTAGATATTGATTAAGAACTCATTAGGTATCACTATATCGGATAGAAAACTGAAAAGAAGATGCAAATCAAAACTTTGTGAAACTCACCTAGAAGTCTAAAACAGAACATACACATATGGAGCATAATCATAATCAGATAAACAAGGATGAAAGCTTAAGGAGAGCACCTTATAATTGCTAACATGAAATCAGAGAAACGATCCCTTTCATGAATTTCATCCTAGCAAGTTAAAGAGCATTTGTTAGCTGATGCAGGAAAAGATCACCTAAAATCAAAGAATTGTTGACACATCTAAATGGAGAAGTGTAAAGCAAGCAGCGTGATATGTCAGACTGCAGACTAAGGCGTAAAGAATAGGCCTTAAACCAAATTTCCTGTCCCACAAAAAACTTCACAACATTCTTATATAGCTGTCCCAAAAAAACAAACTTCATAAGGAAAGAAATATGTGGCTACCAACATTTATCTTCCTTATAAACAAATTCCAACCACACACTTTTTACTTTTCAACAGTTTCCTTAAACTCCGTTAATCCAAACTATGAAGTTCTTTACGGAACAAAGGGAGTATAACAAAGAACGCCGCCAATATCCAAAAGATAGCATGAGATGTGTGTAGTATGCTCTCGTATTGTTCTTTATGAGAGCAAATGAGGTTCAATTTTTGCACAAGAGAAATAACCAAATATTGTTCACATTGTTATGTACCTTCAAAGCATACTATTATTCCACAAGTTTTGCACATTGCAGTAATGGAATTTAAAAGGTTCTACCTTTGCAGCCTGGGCTTTGGGTGTTAAAAGAATGCATTATTACATCATGCGATATAAGAGAACTAAAATGTAACAAATTGTTGGTTTGTTATACTTCTTTCTTATGAATCAGAGCTGCAGTCCATGAGATTTTTTACTTCATAAGTTGTAACAATACACATTCCAAAGAACAATATGTGATAGACCAATACTCTTATTTAGTAGTGCAATGATTTTACAGGAATTATAACTGCAACTCTACAACAACAACAACAACAACAACCCAATTGAATCCCACAAAAGTAGGGTCTGGGAGGGTGTGTACGCAATCCTTGCCCCAACTCAAAAATAGAAAGGCTGTTTCCAAAGAGACCCCCGGCAGGTAATCACGTACACAGCATGTCCCCTATGTTTAAGACATAGAGCGGTTGTTCTGGATGACCCATGATGAGCACTGAAAGTTGCATTGAGTAACAGCTACTTCACTATTAAAAGAAGCACATACAGTTTAAAAAGCCATTTTGCTTTATCCCATCATACCCCAAGACCAAAAAATAGATGAATATTTATAACTGCAATTTTATTTTTTTAAAAAAACAAGTAACAGAGCATGCAGCCTACAACACAAGAAATATTTCATAGAAGATGGAAACAGGAAGTACCACAATGATGTGGGTAATGTCAGACAAATCATCCTTTGCCCTTTGCGAAGTTTTTTTTAACTTGGTATAAGCGACTATAACCCTCAGCAAAATCCCATTTGTACAAAATACCAATGATGAATGTCTTCCTCCGCTGCTCTCCAATCGAATCTAGAATTTGTCACAGTAACATCAGTGATCAATTGTACAGTGCAATTCATTACATTGATTGTGAATTGAGTAAAATAATTAGCCCACTCAGAAAAAGCAAAAGGGAAAAAATACAGCTATCTACTGAACTCATACCACACACAACACCTCTTGAATGGCTATTCGAAATTAAAGTATGAAACAACTCTTAGAAACAACATGCGGAGTATATTAATTGCATAAATTATACCCTTAATATTGGAACCATCTATGAGCCACTGTCAAAATGTTAAATCTTGTGGAGGTGGGAAAGAAGAGTTACCTATCATGGTAGAGTTACATCAAGGATTGACACAGTTGACACTACGCCAATTCCTATTAATAACCATCACAGGTGAGTTAATCATGACGGTTTAAGATGAGGTTTCATTGTGTACGGGGGTTTCACATGCTATCTTGTTAAATGATGAGTTCAAAGAAGGGCTAAATGTTCCAACAAAAACATGGAGACAAGATTCAGAATCCAGAAGGTGGAACATCATATGAAGTAAAACAGAAAATTTGGAAAGCTAATTTAGTACTCCACTACTCCCACCATCCCACAATTTTAGGACATAGAGTAGAGGCTCACAAAATAAGAGAAGTGGAACTGTATGGTTGATATTGGTGTTAAAAAGTAAAATATGAATGTGAGCCACACAATTGCACAAAAGTTACCCAATGCTAAATACGGCGAAGGACAAAATTAGCAGGACGGATAGAATACCTTTCATGATAAAAGATAAAGTAGGATTAAATTGAATTGAAAACCCTAAGCGGTTGATTCAAATTATTGAGATATATAGAGTATTAGAAAAATATATAAGCACTCATAAACACGAGATGAATGCAGGTCCTTTAAAATGGAGAGAGATGACTAAAATGCTATGTGATTCTAATGTGCCTCTGAAGGATGAATTATATAGGACTTTGATCGCACTGAATTTATTCTAAAAATTATAATGTTGGGTGCAGAGTATGTTAAGATATTAAATGTCTGGTAAAGCTTGAAAAAGAATAGTTCACAACATAGAGACTTGTGTGCAGATGGTGAAGTGACTATTAAATACTTGGGGAGGGAGATCCAACTTGGTAGGTTCTGCACATTTGCTAGGGTAAGAAGATTAAAATCTCGGAATGTTGAATGATTTAGGTTAAGTGCATAAAAAAGACATTATAAAATCAGCCTTCATGACGAGAAAGAAAATAGTTGAAAACAAAGATATTAGGAAATGACTTGGTGATACTTTTTCTTAGTTAATGCAATTGACCCAATGATTTTTGACGAAGGCTTTGTTATTATTGATGTTGAGGATCTTATAATGAACATTTATGTTCACTTGTCAGTGGTCACAAGACAAATGTTTGACATCTGAGGTGCATTTTCAATTGATAAACCATACTAGCTTTAAAAGCAATTATATGTTTAACCACCAAAAAGGTTAGAGTAAATATATAGAAATCCTAGCAGGAAAATCTTGTTGTTCAAAATAAGTTGAAGTTGGTGCAATTAAAGCTTGTATTCAAGAACAATATAACCCAACATCTGTTTCCAGGATACACATAACAGAAGATAGACTGATTTTCTAGGAAATTCAGACATTAGAATATCTTTCAAGAATTCCATTTAATGTAGACAAGTGGATACAAAAGCACAAAAAGAAAAAATGTTGAGAAAAGACTAGAATGAAGATCAATATAGAAGAACAAGGAAGAGAGTTTATTTGAAACACATATTAAAAAAAAGTATACCTTATAACCAACAGTATCCCCCAGCTTTTCACCTCTCTCGTGAGCAATTCTCTCAGAAACTGCAAACAAAATAACTAAATTATGAAAACAAAGCCATAGCAAAACGGGAGAAAAAACACCAAGATGGTATACATGAAACTACAAAATTCTGGTTTAGAAAGCTTAAGCATGCCTGATGTAGCTGAAACTCGCCGTGGCTGAGAGCACACAATTTTGCATGGCTCTCCCTTAGCCCACATGTGGTCTAAAATATATTGTGGGACCTTGAAAAATGAAAACAACATTTTAATACCACAAGAAGAACCTTGCCATGTGAATACGTTATAACAAAAATAGAGGGTCAACCTATTGATATAGGCACAACCTCATAAAACTGGTGCATATAACTAGTATGATTTTAATAAAGATAACAAAAAAATAAATATCACTAACATTTTCATTTCTTACTATAAAACTACTAGGGTAATATGCAGGGCCGGTCCGTGGGTGGGCCAAGCAGCCCAACCGGACCGGACCCGTTTATTTTGGGGGCCCAACGTTTTTTTTAAATTCTCTAGTCGAAATGTAGTTTCTTCTATTTTTAAAATAAATTGCTGAAGTGGGTGTCGAACCCAAACACCTATAGGTGGGTGTAAAATGCAGCTTATCCACTTCAGCTACTGCCTTGGTTGTTCCTAATTCACGTATAAAGAAATATATTGCTATATTGGTATCAACAACACAGTTTGAATTCAAACCTTTCATTGATTCAATTCACTCCGTATTAGCATATTGTTTAGGAAAAAAACTAGTAAATTAATGACTGCTAATATGATACCAATTAATGATTAACTTTTTTGTTTGAATTTTGAAACTTTCACTGATTGTATTATTCAATCCGTGGCATATGGTTTTGAAAAAAAAGAATAGTAAATCACCGATTCGGAAAACAAATTTATACTCGGTACGGAGTATAGTTTAATTAGTCGGGGTTAAGGGCCATTTTTTGGTCTCGTGTCGGGCCATAAAATTCTCGGGACCAGCCCTGGTAATATGGTTTTAGTGAAACAACCTGTATTTTTTGTAGTTTATGTGCTTTTCATTTAAAAAATCAAATCTATAAGTATTTCTACTTCTATTTGCCCCTATGGAACTACAAAATAATGAGTGAGCATGTATAACTTCTTAGTTTTTAAAAGCATTGAGAATTTTTTATTGCAAGAATAGTGACACAGAAGTGAATTAGCTCTGACACTCTGAGCTCATTTAAAATGTAATGACACAAATCAAATATTAATGAGTTACCTGTGTGGTTTTTCCACATCCAGTTTCACCAGAGATTAGCACTACCTGAAAAGGGAGAATGATACAAATGGGTAAGTTACTGGTGTCACAGAGAGGTGCCAAACTGCATATAAGGCATCAAAAAGATAAACAAGCAAGATAAGCAATCCTTTGTCAAATGCCTTATCAAACATAAAGAAATAAATTTCAAGCATCTTTACCATCCAGAAGTGTGCCAACCATTTTCCTTATTGAATAAAATAATTGTTACTCTAGACACATACATATACGAAGGCATATACTCAGAAAGTGAATGAGAGACACCTGATTTTCCTCTACACTTGATGTAATTATATCCTTGAAAGAAGCAATTGGAAGTTTCGACCTCCCTTCAAAAATCTAAACAGAAGACATTGTGAACTATTAGTGCAACAACCCAGTTGAATCCCATGAGAGTATTAACATGAAGATAATTCTACTTATAGCCCGTTGCAGCTAATACATTATATAAGTTCATCATATGCAAGTACATCAGAAACCCTTACAACATTAGAGTCCACTAGAGTAACAACGCCAGTAACACCCTCCCCCTCAAAGGAAAAGATAAAGAAAAAAGCACCTGTCTTAAGGTACGGTTATGTTCAGCTCTTATAGCAAGGGTCTCAACTCTCTTTGCAATCTCTGACTTGTCCATTGCAGGTTTTTGGAATATATCATCCTGCATTCCAAAAAACTTCTTTCCTTTCTTGTTACGTTTTCCAGCCATATAAGAAGTAGCATCCTCCTCACCAGGTGGAAATTGACTAAATAGATCCTGTAGTATAGCTTTTGATTCTTCTGAAAACTTAAACCCAAGAGCTTTCTTCTCTCTTTCGGGACATGCTTTCTTTATTTTATTTTTGAAAACAACTACACGCCGTGCAGTCCCACCCCTAGAAAACCCAAGTTCATGCCATCAAAGTTGTCAAAGTTTAGAAGGTATTTGAAGCACCAGTTAGGCTAGTGCATTATTCAGTCCAGAGCCTAGGCCGACCCGAAACCCAGTCAAAACAAGCCAGGACCACTCTTCTGGTTTAGGGCTTTGGTCCTACTTTTAAGCTTATTCAGTCTGGTCTGGTCCGGTCCACCAGTCTAACTGATTTAGGCAGGTGGGCCAAATAAAATTAAGAGTTGAATTTGAAGAAAACTTTTAAATTTAAATTATGATATATCCAATGATTTTTAATTAAAAAAATCATTCCAAACAAGTTAAATATGTTAGTTTTAGTTAAACTAACAGATAAACTATAAAACAAATAGTTGTATTTGATCATTTTCACTAGTTGCTTGTCAAAAAGATTGTACACTACTGAAATAAGACTCTTATAGGACAAATAGATATTTTTTGAAAAACAGTAAGAAAAAGTATACATAACGGTTCTTATTTGATCTGTTAGGATCCAATCCAGGTTTTACAGGTTCGGTCCTGGCCCTAGGCTTACTCGAACAGATTCACGCCTCTAGCACTAATGCACCATATACCTATGCTAGATTGACAAACAACAACACACATACATTTCTAACAAAAATTAATACACATGAACGTTGCAACAAATACTAAGTATACTTACCCACGACTTTTGGATTTCATGCCAAATTTTCTGCACAGCTTATGCACTGCAGCTCGCTCCAAATTGTTAAGCTTTGGATCAAATTTGAACTCTGTGTTAACAATATAACACATATAAGTTCCTTCTATGTGGAAATCAACATTATATATTGGCATTAAAGAATAGATCCACAGAAAACAGTATGAAGTGTTTAGATAGATGTGCATGCACTTGCTTACAAGTTACAAGCTTCAATTCTAATAAGCACATATGATAATATACTAATATAGACACGGTGTCAGAAAATAATTCTGCCCCTTCTGTATGGATGTGATTTGAAAAAAGGAAAGAAAAAAACTGACCTAATATGCTTCCAACCCTGCCACTTTTAAGAAGATATACACTGAGACATCATGACAGGTCATGTTGACTCGTAACGTTCCAAATAAATACAATTTACTCTAAAAATGAAATCTTATGCAGCACACACACACACACATATATATAATTTATGTGTGCGTATGTCTATAGGTGAGCGATTTGATGCAATTCAATACTTTGTGCTCCAATCAATCCCAGCTTAGAAATGTTGACTATCACTAAGAAGCCTGAAGATATAATCTACCACTTTGTACGGCTAGCAACAAACCAATCATCTTGATTTCTAATTCACGAAGTTTATGTATCACACCAAAACGTAAAAGACATATCATATCACACTCGTGAAGCACCAACTCCAATTCCAGAGCTAAAAAAGACCTGATTGTGTTATATTTTAGTGCAAAAATTCACAAAAATTGTCTTCTCAAACTAGATTTATCAATGAATAGTTCTACGCATCGATTCAGAGATTTCAAATGCAAGTTTCATGTTTATCATAATTGGATGATTTTAGAAGTTCTAAAATAGCTCTTACTTAAGTTCAGTATACATATTACTTCAGTTTGTTCTTTTCCAGTCAGCTTGAGTAGTACTTAAATGGTTCTCCTATTTCAATGACTTTGAGACTTAGGGATGATACACAATATTTGGAGTTCTTATTCATATTGTGCTTATGGATGTGCAGTGACCATCTTGAGTTTGTAAACAAACCAAATCCAATTGAATACTGAGTATTATTATTTGTATTTGGAAATTTAGACAGATATTAAAAATTAAATTGAAATGTAAAATGAATACCAATAACTACTTGTGTTAAGATTCTTATTCATTTTTGCCAAATAAAAATCATTTTTGTCGAATACAAATCATGAATCAAATCAAAATTATTCTCTTCTTCTATAACCCTCTAGAAATCTAATTGCTAGATTACGACTTATGAACTTGCACTTTTAGCTTCAAAAATATTTTTATGTTTGATTAATTTTATTTTCAATGACTATCTATCTTGAGTTACTACTTACACACCTTATCACTACATCGGTATATAGATTGTAATTATATTCATTATGTATTTATTTGCACAATTGTATTCAAATAAATTTAAAAACTTAACAAATCAAATAAATACATATTAGTATTCATATTTGAAAATGCAATGAATACTTATACCCACTTGTATTACAATGGCAAACTAGGGGTAATGAAAAGAACAAAGAGACAAAAGTATCAAACAAAGAAGGCACACTATGACAAGAGCAAGATTACCATCAAGGCCCAACACGACTACCCAGCTACCTTGATCCTAGATCTCGTGCTGCTCTTATCTAAGGTCATACTACTAGTATTCTATGTAGTAATACATAATTCAGTTTTCCCTAATACGATTCACTGTATTCTAATACCTACTTGTTTTTCCCTAAGACAAACTTGATAAATAAAATGTTTGGAAGTGCGTGTCATCTACTCTAAACAATCTTAGATTTAAGGGGAATTAAGTATTCTATTCATACAAAAGGCACTGAGAATGTTTTTTAAAAGTGCAAACCAAATTTTCAAGAAGCCAAGGGCTACTGATTCAGGCTATTATATTTCTGTTCCTGAAATGCCCACTCATGAACACCACAAATACTCAGCACGCTTGAGTACTGTTCTTGTCATTTTAAACAAAACAAAAAGTTCTCTGAAGTCCAAACAACAACAACAAACCCAGTATAATTTCAACTCCATCGGAGCCTAGGGGTCAAGATGGAAGCAACATGCCCATGGGAAATGCAAAGAGGCTTTTCCATTAGACCATTGACAATTTGGTGAGCCATTTTTCATTTAGTCTATTATTTACCCAAACTAAAACATTGTCAAAATGACTCTTTAGGTTCATACGCAATGGACGCAAGAAAGTTATTCAAGTACTTGAGGATAATTATCCATTTCATAAAGTAGGATCAATGCCAAACACTAATTTAAAGATCACATTTTTTGGGTACAATGGAAAGTTGAACCGAATTAAAGGCAAAGAAGCAATTTTATTCCGAGATGCTCTAATCAAGAACATTTTCCCACATGATACATTCCAGTTCATCCAGCGGCTCCTCCATTTGGTCTATCATACATCATCATTGCCAATAAACCAGCAAAGTGGTTCTCTCTTAGCATGCGAGACCCGTCACTAAAGAATCACTAGTTCAAGTGTGTGTGCAGTTTTCTAGTACAGCTTCAGTCTACTGCACCTGTTTTGTCATTTTGTACTAAAACATGTTTTAAACACAAGGTTATCCAAGGCTTTAAGATGATTCTCTATTCCAAAGAGCATGATGACCAGAAACAGTGTAAAAGCATGATTTTTGATACTTATAAACATCAAAACGACTTGCAAAAAAATCATCTTATTCTGCAGCATTCATATTCTGATTTTAACTATTGCGGAGGGGAAAAGACCTTAAAACCCAGTTTTAAAAAATATCAATGCCAAACACTCACAAAAGAATCACTTCTTACTACATAAGAGTATGGGGTGCACCAATTAGCTTTGAGCTAACATTCATGACTGAGTGGTGTCAAAAGTCAGGGCCAAAAAAATAAGCTAAAACTGGGAAGCTAAACCTTAAAAGCTGTCATTTTTGGTAGATAATTACTACGTTAGGATGACCCAAAATAGAACTCCAAACGAGGCGGGAAGCAAAATTACATGAAATCCAATGCATACCTTCATCATTGGACGAGCGGAATCGTTCGAGGATTTCAGAAAACCTAGCTCGAGCGGCCTCGCTAACGCCCTTTGGCCACCCCTTATCCTTGTTCTTGTTCTTCTTCTTCCCTGCTTTCCCGGAGCCCCCTGCCTTAGTCTCCGTCGACATCTTTCCCTTCTCGCTGTACTGATTCTTCCGGTTAGCGTCTTCTCGCGCTCTCTGTCTGGAGGGTTTTAGAGACTGTCACGCTCGAACAGGAAGAAACCCTCGACGCGCGGCGATGGCTGTTGATGGATCTGTCGTTCCTGTTTCAGCCCCCTTCTGAATTCAGGGACCATATTTTCATGGATCTTTAAATCTAGTTCGAGTTTCCTAAGCCCATCTTTGATAAAATGATAAAAGGTAGAAGGGGGTTTTTGATAAAAATTAGCAGCATTTTCGATAAAAATTTAATTGTGTATATAAATTTTGAAAATATTAATATTAACCTCTGCCGTCACATAGTTCAAAATACTAACACTAATATCTAATGATAATGTTGAATAAGGCCAAAATTACAAATTTCCGCTTATACGGAGTATTTTAAAAATATTCATACACTATGTACAAAAGTGTACGGGGTATATTTTTATTTATATTTATGATTAATAAATACTCTGTATTTATATTTATGAAAAATAAATATTTGTGAGAGACTTGTTAATTTATTAAAAATATCAAAAAACTCTATATGAATGGAAACATGTTGGTGTAGTGGCAAGAAAGCCACCATAAATTTCTCCACATGTAATGCTCGACCCTCAATCATGTGCCTAAAATGTTAAAATTATTAGATTGAACAAATATTACACAGATGGATCTCGAAACTACTCAAAAAAAAGAGTTCAAAATGAAAAAAACATCACTCCGTATGTTGGAAAAGCAAACTTATCCCACACAGTGCAAATATGAGAAAGAGAACCAAAAATATAATGGTTCACCCAATTCCACTACAATGAGGTCTTTTGGAAGGTGCCCAAAAACAAATATGTGAGAGTTTAGCTTCGAGCGGACAATATCATACTAATACGGGATTGGTAAGCATGCGCTACTCGATTCCAGCATGTGGTATCATAGTTAGGTTTAGAGAGCCAAAGTGGTGAGCCAGCATGTAAGGAGTTCTCGGAGTGACAGTGGCTAACAGAAGTAGGACCGAGGTTGGTCGACAGAGGGTAAGTCTGGGTGTTGTGCGGGGAGTTTACGGCATGATGATGTGCACCAATGGGAGTAGGCCCATGATGTTTTGTGTTGTGCGGAATTCACATAAGATGGTGTGCCAACCTAACAACATCTAGCTAGGTGTTGTGCGGGGAGTTTACGGTGTGACGATGTGCACCAATTGAAGTAGGCGCATGGTGTTTTGTGTTGTGCGGAATTCACAAAAGACAGTGTGTCAACCGAAATAGACTGGAGAGATTCACGGTGGTATCTTGTGTTGTGCAAAATCAGTCAACAGTGTGCCAACAGGACCCGAAAGTTCATCTCAGGGAACCTATGGTAATGCCTTCTTGTCGAAGAATTAGAGGGGTACGTACATGGTGTGACGATGAACAAAGAAAAGCTAAAGAACAACGGGCAGAGTGTCGGATAAAATTGATCACTTGCATATAATGAGATCTACTTTCAAACCCAAAAGCTTAAGCTGATAGGTAGGGTTTCACATTTCTATATAATGCTAGTGGTGTTCTTCTTTATTTTTTGATGTGGGAACTCCAACACTCCCCACTCGAGTGGTAATTAGCCTGGTCTAGTTATAACTTGAACAAACGTGTCTAACATCTCAATCTTTTATAGGTAGCCCACACAACGGGTAGTGACTTCTCAATCTCTTATAGCCAACTTAACTACCTAAAGCACGAATGGATAGCTCTCACGTCCAAACAACCATGAAAAATCGATCGAACCGAACCTGCTCTAATACCATAAAAGAATACTCCGTAAACTATGTGTTTCATAGATTATGAACTCATTTATATAGAAACAACTACAAAAGGAAAGAGGATCATACAAAGAAACTACCATGTACATAATAATATATACAGAAATATATTACTCCCTCCATCCCAGAGTATTTGTCCACTTTCATTTTTGCACACCGTCCAATGCACTTTTTTAATCAATTTTATCTTGTAATTTGTATATTAAAAAATTATAGAAATTGTATATTAATAATCTATAAATCAAACAAGATCACACATGACTATATTTAGGCTTACACATTGAGAGAATTTGATGAATCAAAGTGTTTAGATAAACAGTTCCAAAAGTCAAAAGTGGATGAATATAGCGGAACGGAGGAGGTAGTATTTCCTTTTTTTAAGAGTAGCGTGTTGGATAGTGAACAAGATGGTTAAGAGTACAAAGGCCATTTTATTTAGTAAATGGAAAAAGTTAAAGAGAATGAACATATCAATTAGAAAAGTGATAAGAAATAAAGTGGACTACGTCGGTATATTCCACGTCTTGTACAATCAAGTAATTAATTGCGAAACAAAACTTTGAGCACTAGATAAAGTCAAATTACAACATATTACACCAAATTGTAATCATATGGATCGAACACTAAACTAAGCTCCTCGCATCGTGCGTAATTAACCATGTGAGTGTATATATCTATGTATATGGGGAGAGACCTAATAATAAATTGGAGACATGTATAATTAATCCCATGCATTAACATTAATATGGATAATTGATTCGTCGTGACATTATTAGAGACAAGAGATGGACAAATCTAGGTTGATTTCGGTGTCCCTAATGGTTGCCCGAAAATGTTGCAGGTCAACCGTGGTGGCGTTGGTCGCCGCCGGCACAGTGGAAGCGCCGCCGCCGGCCTGAGGCTTCTTCATCCGGGTGTCGGGGAAAATATCTTTTCTGAGATCAAAGTATGCAAATTGTGGGATCTCCCCGGAGCTTTCACTTCGGCCGCCGCCACCGCCACCGCCGCCCTCTTCTTCCACCTTTGTCATTTCGCTCTTCTGATCACTTCCTTGTGATTCCTGCTATGAAAAAACACTAAACTTGTTAAAATATTGTCAATCCCATGATGCATAATGGGATCACCTAACGTAACATTAGAACAAATTGTGGCCATATAAATTACTCCCTCCGTCCTATAATGATCTTCCCAGAGCACTATTCCAAATTCAAGGAAATTTATATTTATTTGTGTTTTTTCATGGCCTATATGATAAAATAAAATATTCTTGTCACCACTTGTTTTGTTGAACTTTTGATGTAGTTTTTAAATATGTATGTTTTATTTTTTATTTATATACCAATATTTAAATAAAATAGATTGAAAAAACTTGGGATTTTTCTTCGTTTTGCGAACCGGGAAGATCATTATAGGACGGAGGGAAGATTTTTTCTTTTTAATACTCCCATTTCTTTTTAATTAGGCCATACAAATTAAAGTAGTATTAAAATTAATTAATGCCTCAAAATTTACATATTTCTTTTACATATTTCAAAATAAAAAAAATACTCCCTCCGTCCCAGAGTATTTGTCTACTTTCATTTTTACACATCATCCAATACACTTCTTTAATCCATTTTATTTTGTAATTTGTATATTAAAAAATTATAGAAATTATATATTAATAATCTATATGTTAAAACAAATCAAACGAAATCACCCATGACTATATTTAGGCTTAGACATTAAGACAATTTGATGAGTCAAAGTGTTTAGATGAACAGTTCCAAAAGTTAAAAGTGGACGAATATAGTGGGACGGAGGGAGTATTATCTTGTAAGAGTGTGTTAGATTATGTAATTTATAAAAATTATACTTGTGCGTACAAAATTTAGGATCACAAGTGTTAAAATTTAGGATGAGATAGAGACAACTAAATTGGGCAAAAAGACACTTGAGCTGAACAACATTAAAATATTGAATTCAATCGATTAGTTAGTTCAACTCAAGAATTTATATACCGATTATTTTACTCTTAGACTTTCGATGTGGGATGCACTCTAACAACAAAAATGATTTTTTTATATAAAGCAATCGAAATAAAGACTATATGCATGTGATGGTACGTACGTGGCGATGAAATAGACGAAGATGATGATGGCCAAAGTAGCAACTGGTGTCGCTGCTTCTGATTTTTGTTGTCTCATTAGTCTCATCAAAAGAAGAAGACACTTGTCTCAATATTCTTTCTAATGATGTGTGCCTGCAAATTAATTAATAAGAGTAATTAATTAAACATTAACACTTATTAACAATCATATTCATTCGATCTTGTAGCTGCATGCACGTCAATTTGGCTATATATTTTCCTAATGTAATACTTAATGTTTTTTTTGTAAATAGTGCTTAAATAATATCTAGTGACGGGAACAATGTCTAGCGATTGTAAACATTTAGAGGCTGTTTGTTTCAGCCTCTTAATGGTTCAGATGTCTGAATGGTTCAGCACTTAATGGTTCAGACTGTTTGTTTCAGCCTCTTAATGGTTCAGATGTCTGAATGGTTAAGAGATTTGCTTCTGAATGGTTAAGTATTATACAGAGTATGAATGGTTAAGAGCTCTTATCTGAATTTATCAGACATTTGCCTCTGAATAGTTAAGTAATATACTAGCTCTTAATGGTTCAGACCTCTTACGGGTTCAACACTTAATGGTTCAGACCTCTTACTGGTTCAGCACTTACTTATTCAGAAGTTGCCAAACAGCCCCTTAATTTTACATACTCCCTCCGTCCCTAAATAAACTTCCTCTTTCGTTTTTTCGTTGTCCCCAAAAAAACTTCTCTTTTCCCTTAAAAAACAACTTTTATCCCTTACTTTTTCATACCCTACCTATCACATCATACCTTTTTATTAATAATCTACTCATCATATCTTACTTTTATCCATCACATCAAGGGTATTTTTAGAAAGTCAATACCAAAATATCCCTCCGTTAATTTCCCAAAAAGTCAATAAAGAAAGTTTATTTAGGACGACGAGAGTATTATCCAACGTGGGACATGGGCAAAGTTACAATTGTATAGTGTTGGAAGGTGGAAACATGGGGTGAGGAATGAATTATTTACAATTTACAAGTGAAGATGGAAAAAGGGAGTCATTATTTGATCTGGTCAAAGTCAAACCTGCCATGTGGGCAGATAAATAAAAAATACGGAGTATTCTAAGGTAAAATCAAAACAGTAATTTTCCTTATAATTACTACTGCTTATTACGTTGGATGATGGGATGGAACATGTGAAGAGGTTTCTAAAGTCTTATATGGTCAGGCTTCTATCACAGTGACCTCATAATTGTATTTGGTCAGATTATACTCTATTCGTTCTCAAAAACACTTCCTTTTTTATTTTTTTCATTTTCAACAAAACACTTCCCTTTTCTATTAAAAAATCACTTTTACCCTTACTTTTTCATACCCTACCTATCACATCATACTTTTTCTCTAATAATCTATTCATCACATCTTACTTTTACCCATCACATCAGGGACAAAATTGGAAATCAACTACTCCCTCCGTCCTAAAACTTTCTTCCCAGAGCACTATTCCAACTTCACGGGAATTTATATTTATTTGTGTTTTTTCATGGCCTATATGATAAAATAAAATATTATTGTCACCACTTGTTTTGTTGAACTTTTGATGTAGTTTTTAAATATGTATGTTTTACGGAGTATTTTTTATTTCTATACCAATATTTAAATAAAATAGATTGAAAAAACTTGGATTTTTCTTCGTTTTGCGAACCGGGAAGAATGTTTTAGGACGGAGGGAGTATAATTTAACACTTCCTTATTTTTGCCCCAAACCAAAATGGGAAGGGTTTTTCCAAACGGAGGGAGTACTACTGATTAATATAATTAATCTCACTTATTTTAATTATTATTAAACTTAATCATCATAATGACTTGATGATTAAACTAAAAAGTCAGATTAGAATATGCATGCAACACAAAAAGTCGTCATTTGTAGGCATCCACTTTGAAAATCAAGGAATGGATGAATTGGCCAAAGAGTCAATATAACAAGCATATCATATGGATTTTTTTAATTAATTAATTTTTCAATTGGATTAATAAATAAATTAATTAATTACCCATGTGGATTATTATTCCAAGCTGTGAAATGGGGTCTCTCTCCTGGGAGCTTATTATTGCAGCTTGGTGCTCCCATGAAAACATCGAAAGTGCTTCTCTCCTTCATGTTTCTGTACATCTGTTAGGTTACAAAAAAAAATATTCACTAATTATTATTAGTTTCATTCCTTAATAATTTTACCGTTGTTATTATTTACAAAAGTCTCTGAAATTATAAAATCAAATGAAGTGTACGATTTTTTTTTTTAAAAAAAAGATAGAAACATAATTTACAATATATGTGTAATTAAACACCATTTTTAAATGCAAAATGGACTTTTCATTAGCTTATTGAAACAAGATAGGAAAATTTTAAAAGAGAGTAATAATTTTAAATATGTTATCAATACTAAAAAGAATATAATGGTGGATTATATTATAACACATTCAAAAGGTTAAAGTTAAACACATTTTTTTAAAAAAATACAACATTGATATGAACACAATTAATTAGTTCAATCCAACATGCATGTGGGTGGTGGAATTTAATTAGAAATTGACATAAGTAAATAAATTAAACAAAAATGATAGCCCACGCTTTAATTTCAACGTAGCTAGCTATGATATGATGATAGTAATTGTGGAGCCACCCATATATGGCAGAAGCTAGCTAGCTACCTTGCTACATGCACCTAGGTTGGTAATAATATACTCCCTCCGTCCCGTGAAACATGGGACATTTGATTTTTAGGAGAGATTTAAGGGAGTGTATTTTGGTATTGAATTTCCAAAAATGTCCTTTGATGTGATAGGTAAAAGTATGATTTGATGGACAGATTATTAGTAAAAAGGTATGATGTGATAGTTAGGGTATGAAAAGTAAGGGTTAAAAGTGACTTTTTAATAGAAATAAGAAGTGTTTTGTGGGACGGATAAAAAAAGAAAGGGGAAATGTTTCACGGGACGGAGGGAGTACTCCGTATATACTCCCTTCTTCAATTCCATAAATAAATTGGAGTAATTTAATTTGGCGTAATTTAGAAAAATGTTTAAGAATAAAAAATATTCCGTAGGAGATAAAAGAAATTTTAAAAGCTGGATAAATACTCCCTCCGTCCCACAAAGATTTACACCTTTCAAAAAAATTGCGTCCCACAATTTCCTACACATTTCTATTAAAAAACCAATTTTACCCCTTACTTTTTCAAACTCTACCTATCATATCATACCTTTTTTCTAATAATCCACACACCACGTCTTACTTTTACCCATCACATCAGGGATATTTTTGGAAAGTCAACACAAAATTATCTCTCCCTTAATTTCAACTTTAGTCAAAATGTGTAAATCTTTTTGAGACGGAGGTAGTATTTTTTTAAAAAAATGAAACTATGTACTCCGTATATTTTATTTGGAATGAATGAAAAAAGAGAGTGTTAATTTAATTAATTAATGGAGGAAGGGATCGGAGTATATAGAGTTAATAAACAAAAAATATATTCCCTCTCTTTCCTAAAATCATTCATGTTTTGATTAGGAAGAAATTTATTTTTGTAGTTTGGCCTTCTAATTATATCTTTATCGTTGAAGGAAAATTAAAAAGAGAGATCAATCATCTAAAAGATTTATTAAATCAATGCAAATTGAATGGAATGTATTGCAACGACTTACTTAAATTAGATATATTAGTAAAGTGTTTTAGAAAAAAACCAAAAAAATTTAAAAGGAAAACTATATATTTTAAAAAAGGAGTATAGATATATAATATACCTGGAGATGGCTTTTGACATGAGAAATCTTTAATCCTTTTACTCCCATCACCTGCACTATTCTCTTGGGAGTTGCTTCTGTTAACATATATGAACCCATATTTATAGTTTTAGTTTTTGGAAGGGAAAATAAAAAAGAAAACCAAATCAGAAATTCCATTTCTAATTATTTCTCAAATGGAAAACTGAAACGCAAGGCGAAGTCAAGCTGTACACAGGAACTTACTGTAGCGGCCGCCGAGATGCTCGACGGCGTCGACGAAGTGGTCGTGGAGCTCCGGCGTCCACTGCAACCGCGGGACTGCAGATTTCTTGTACGGCCTAACCCCACTCCTCTCGTTGCTGTTATTATTATTATTGCTCATACTCTTCTTCATCATCATTATTTACATATATATATATATATATATATTGACCTAACAATAATTATTCTTATATGTATGGTGTGTTCTCTGTTGAATTGAAGCTGAGGCGGGCGGGGAGTGCGCGATTATATATATATATATATAGAGAGAGAGAGAGGGAGAGAGATGGACCCGCAAAAAAGTTCCTTTTTCTTTTTTAATCTGTTCCAAAAAATATTTTTTCATTTCCTTTTAAAAAGTTACTTTTAACCCTATTAGTTTTTAACCTACCTATCAAATCACATTTTTTCTCTATTAATCTATCAATCTCATTCCATCAAAGAACATTTTTAGAAAGTTAACGCCAAAATACACTCCCTTTAAATCCTCAAAAAGTCAAAACAAAAACTTTTTTAAGAGACGGAGGAAATATTATTTATATACTCCCTCCGTCCCGTGAAACATGGGACATTTGATTTTTAGGAGAGATTTAAGGGAGTGTATTTTGGTATTGAATTTCCAAAAATGTCCTTTGATGTGATGGGTAAAAGTATGATTTGATGGATAGATTATTAGTAAAAAGGTATGATGTGATAGTTAGGGTATGAAAAAGTAAGGGGTAAAAGTGACTTTTTAATAGAAATAAGAAGTGTTTTGTGGACGGATAAAAAAAGAAAGGGGAAATGTTTCACGGGACGGAGGGAGTATATAGAAGAGGATTTGATGATGGAATATATATATATGTGTGTGTGTGTGTGATGAGTATATTAATAATAAAAAGTGTGATGTGATAGGTATGGTAAGAATTAGTAGGAGTAAAATAGACTTTTAGTAGAAATGACAAAGTTTTTTTAGAACAGATAAAAAAACAAAGTAAAGGGATTTTGTGGGACGGAGAAAGTATATATGTATACTCCCTCCGTCCTAAAATTAACTTCTCATTTTGACTTTTGTAGTCAAACTTTTTAAACTTTGACCGTATTACGGAAAAAATACATTGAATTTTTGTATAAATTTATTAGCAATAGATTCATTTTGAAACATAGTTTTGAAATATATAATTTCTATAAAATATATTTATATAAAAATTGAGATATTGATGGTTTGGTTTGGCGCCGGTGGAAGATAAATTGCGGGAAGCGAGGTTGAGATGGTTTGGTCATGTGAGACGGCGGGATGCTGACGCCCCTGTACGGAGATGCGAGCGGATTACGGTTTTCGGGGGAAGGGGTAGACCTAAGAAGAATTGGGAGGAAGTGATTAGATAGGATTTAGGACTTCTCACCCTGACTGAGGATATGGCTTTAGATATGAACCTTTGGAGAACTAGGATTAGAGTAGCTGGTTAGGAACTCAGTGTTATAGAGGTTTTTTTATAGTGTGTTGTGTTTGATTAAAATCTTCTATTAATGCTTGTAGAACTTTCTTTTCATTGTACTTGGTGTTTTATCCATGCTATACTCTATACCCTATCATATTTTTCGTGCAGGTTGAGCCGGAGGTCTCTTGGAAACAGCCTCCCTGCTTCCAAGTAGGGGCAAGGTCTGCGTACACACACCCTCCCAGACCCTACTGTAGTGGGATCCAACTGGGTTGTTGTTGTTGTTGAGATATTGATGGTCAAAATGTCGCATTGGAGACCGTGAAAAGTCAAATGGGATGTTAATTTTAGGACGGAGGGAGTATCCTATATATATATGTAAAAGAGAGTTCAATTGTTGTAGTGTTGACATGTGGCATGCCGCATGTGCATCCACATGTGCACTCACTAATGATGTGGATTTATGCATTTTAATTCATTGGTCCATTTTGATTTTTTAAAAAGATCTTTGAATACATTTGCATAAAACTTTTTCATTTTTTAATAATTCTATAAATATATATTTCATCATTGTAAAATATACTCCATTATATATATATATATATATATATATATATATAATTTTTATACTATCCACAACTTATTTTAGTTTATTACTTTTTAAAAAATGATTATATAAATTTAATCACATATGCATATTTATTAATTAAACGATTTGTTTCAAAAAAATTATCTTATTACATTATTTATTTTATTAATGCATATCATATTATTATTAAAACATTAAAATAAATAAAATTAAATTTTAATTCATATTATGTTCATATATGAATTGAACTTTTAACAAACATCCAAAATGTTAACTTATAATATCTATGTTAACATATAGATATATTTTATAGAGAAATATGCGAGCCCGTGCGAAGCACGGGGTAAAAACTAGTTATATATGTATAGAGGATGCTATGTTTGGTAAATGACAATGAGACATAAAATAAAGTAAATACAAATGAAATTTATTTTATAACGAAATGGGAATTTAGAAGCTTAGAAGAAACAACGACGACAAAGCTATTCCCTTCCATTTAATTACATTGACGCATGAATTAGTAGACTTTTACTATTCTTCTTCTTCTTTTGAAAAAAACGCGCGACTCGGTAATTTTTTTATAAAACAAATTTCACATTCACATTCAATTATATTACTCCGTTCTTCCCTTTATATTCTTTACCTTCATTTTTTTCAATTAGGTTTTTTACACATCTAAATTTACTCGTCCTAACAAATTAAATAATTTCTGTTTTCAAAACAAATTAAATAATTTCTACCAAGTAGTTATTTCACTTATTTCTTTAAAATAATAATTAATCAATATTATAGTACTCCGTAATACACATGACAAAATTACGCGGAGTAGTATTAACTACGAGTATGTTTTTAAATTTTAATTTTTTTAAAAGAATATATTTCGTATACAACGTATTATGGATTTTGTTTTGTAGATTTGTAAATTTGTTTGTAAAGATTAAAAATTTAATACTCCGTATGAAATAGAGACTAAAATATTACGGAGTATAAAAATTTATTTCATTCGTTCCATAAAACTCTTCCCCTTTCGTTTTTTTTGAATTCTCTACAACACTTCCACTTTTTATTAAAAAAATCACTTTTACCCTTATTTTTTCATACCCTGCATATCACATCATACTTTTTCACTAATAACCAAGCTATCACATATTACTTTTACCTATCACATTAGGGGCAAAATTGGAAAGTCGACCAAAATTACACTTTCCTTATTTTGGCCCAAAGTCAAAATGGGAAGAGTTTAAAGTAGGGGTGTTCAATCGGATCGATCCGATCCGAAAATTTCGGATCATGTAAAACTCATTCCATATCCAATCCGGAAATATTCGGATAATCGAAATTCGGATATCCGAATTTTCAGATCGGATCACTGGATTATCCGAGAAGTTGACTTTTTATCCAAATTTTACAAAAAAAAGGTAAAATAGCAAAATCAACCCGCAATATCAAATTCAATATGGATTTACTAAAAGCAAAATTCCACCACTAGGTAATGGCCTAATAAAAAAATGATACCAAATTCAATTTGGAAGTAACTTTGGTAAGTTTGCCTAAATAAACAAAAAAAAAGTACTACTAAAACAAAAAGTTCCAAAATGCTAATGTGAAAATTCCAAAATGCTTGAGTTCCAAAATTAACATAAAATTGCATTAAACATATAGCCATAATATTTATCCATAAAATTCCATTAAACATATAGAGAAAAAAATCGGATATCCGATTATCTGAAAAATTCCAGAAATTGAATCCATATCCGATCCGACTTTTCTCGGGTATCTGGTCCGAAAACTAAAATATCAGATCGTATATCCATTTTTTGGATCGGATCGGTCTGGATCATGGACAGATATTTCGGATCGGATATTTTTGAGCACTTCTAGTTTAAAGGGACGGAGAGATCGAGTATTATGGGACAAAACTTAGACTAAAATAGTATTGTTTGTGTTAACGGTTTAGATATATAACTATTCAATAGTAATATACTCCATATGTTAATTTTGAATAACGTAAGAGTAGAAATCAGAAGCATATATAGTAAAGAAGAAAGAAGAAAATCTAATGTATGTTTTGATATTGTTCTTCAATCCCCTCATTGCACGTGGAAATCCTTCCAATTTCTAATCCCTAGCTAGGTTCACAAAATTTAGTCAAAACCATATAATTTGACCAATTGAGTGGAAATTAAGCGTAACTTTACGTACGGCAACAATACAGTTTATCCTTTGAGCAATATTCTACCCGGGACAGTTTTCATGATACGGAGTATTACATTACCCGAAAAAAATATCATGGGATGACTCGGGACACTCATAAAATTGATGGTTCTTATTTCCCCTAAGTCCCTTGGTAAACCCCCGAATTCCGTCCCGACCTGAACATACTCCAACTTCCTTCAATTGCACCCACAAGTTAAATTTGACTTTGAAATTAAATTTTGATGAATGTTTTGTTGGGAGGAGGATGAGAGTACACTATTATTAGAAATGTACTCGTAAAAAGACTCCAGGGATAGAATTTGATACTCCCTCCGTCCCTAAATAAAATTTTTCCTTTCGTTTTTTTTTGTCTCCAAATAAACTTCTCTTTTCCCTTAAAAACCCCTTTTACTCCTTATTTTTTCATACCCTACCTATCATATCATACCTTTTTATTAATAATCTACATATCACATCTTACTTTTACATAATCACATCAAGGATATTTTTGGAAAGTCAACACAAAAATATTTCTCCCTTAAATCTTCAAAAAGTCAAAAAGGGAAGTTTATTTGGGGACGGAGGGAGTAATAGAAGAACTAAATATTAAAAATAACTTATTATAAGGAGTCAATTATATAATTTTTACTCTAAATAAAATATGAAACGATTAATTAAAGATAATTGATGGGAGGAGGATGGGAGTACATAAACTTTGAATGAATGAGACAAATAAATTATTGAATGGAGGCATGAATTAAGGGCCGGGGGTGAAAAAGTCAAAAGGGTAGAAGCAATTAGAGGAATTGGGATTTGCATGTGTCAAGTTAAGACGGTGCCAACTATTGGGCCCACTCCGCCCTGCCCCCTCCCTTCTTCAACATACTCCTAA